TATTTTAAGTTTTTACTATATGAACATTTAGTGAAAATCAATGACCCCCGGGCAGGGCCAATTTTGACCCCAGGGCTATAATTTGAATAATCTTGGTAGAGGTGTACCAGACAATGCCTTATGCAAAATATCTATGCTCAGGACCTTGTGGGTCTTTACAAGAAGATTTTTTAAATTTATTCTTATAATTCCTTTTGGTTGCCATGGCAACCAGATTTCTGCATGGAATGAAATTCTTTGAACAGCTTTAGAAGCCCTTCACCCAAGGATCAATCCTGCCGAGTTTGGGTTGAAATTGGACAAGTTGTTTTTCACAAGAAAATTTTTTAAGTTCACTATATAATCTATATAACACAAACACACACAGGTGAATCACTATATGCTGCAGTGGCATAAAAATGGCATTTCCATTATCACAGATGCTGCAGTGGCATAAAAATGGCATTCCCATTACTGTGAATTCTTCATCTCAGAAGAGCAATTTATGAGAAAATTTCAATGAAAAACTTATTTTTCTAAATGAAAAATTGGTTCATGTTCAAGATTCAAAAATAAAATTTAAACCTTTCTTGATTTGTTTGTTTATGAAAGGAAGATTGTTTTCCAATTTTAACAATTTAAAACTAAGAGAAAAATATAAAGGAAGATTGTTTTTCTATTTTAACAATGTAAAACTAAAGAGAAACATGTATTCAAAAATTAATCAAGCTTCTTCACATGTATGAACTTTGATTTTTTACTTTATTGATATTTTTAATTAATGTAGAAGCATTATTTTTCACCCGCAATTTCACATTTTATTAATTCATTTAATGAGTTAAAAATATTCAATGCTTTTTAATTTTTTTATGTTGTCATGAAGCTGTAGATGTGCCATTTTAATCCATGATTAGCAGCAACACGATAGCCATTTTAAGTTACAATTCCAGACATTTAAATGTTCATGAAATCATGATCTAGAACGAGGTATGCAGTAAAAGATAGGAAGCAATATTTCTGATGACAACACTAGAACAGAACACAGCATAAACACTGTTCAAATTGTAAATGAACAGTCAATTTATCAATATATGAACAGTCAATTTTATCAAAACATGAACAGTCAATTTTATCAAAACATGAACAATTAATTTTATTGATTCTGAACAGTTAATTAAGGTATGACCCCCATAATTGGAACTTTAAGAAACTGACAAATTGACAACATAGGTCAATTATACAGCTTAAAGGACACCTGTATACAAAATTTAAATTAACTTTACCATACAGTTTTTTGAGTTTTGGACACTTTTTCTGAGCTAAGGTTTCAGTTTCTCTACTTGTAATAGGGTTTGTAAGCGAACAGCATGGATCCAGATCAGACTGCGCGGATGCGCAGGCATGTCTTGATTCATGCTGGTTGCAAACCCATTATGTTGGTTTTGTCATGATGCGGCTCATTTAAAGAAATGACGGAACTCTAAATAACCTTCAATATCATCATTATGAAAAATGTTTTGCTATTGACCATTGTAAAAAAACAAATAGTAGCATTCAGCAAACAAATCACACAAACAAAATGACTGTTTCTAATTTGTATAAAAATGTTACCCTACCCAAACCATTTAAACACTTATTTGACCTTTTTTTTTTACTTAGAGAGCCTTTTTCAAAATATCCCTAAAATTTACTATAATTACTGGCTGTTTTCAAAGTTTCCTTAATCTTCTCAAAAGTATTATCGGTAAATCTTGCCAAATATTAAATACTTTTATCAAGTACTGTTGGTTCTATTAGACTTGAAAATATCAGGTACCATATTTGTTATTATATTCAATATCATTTACCCAATAAATACCTATAATTATTATGTAATTAAAATTGAACACTTTTTTCTCTCCAAGAGGGATCTGAGATATATGAATTATGTAAAAAAAAGATACAGAAGAAAAAAAGTTGACCCTTCTGGGGTTTGAACGCATGACCTTAAGTTTCAATGCAGTTCACAGTAATTCTTTCCTATCTAAATACTCTCATGCATAAGGGGGTTATACCTTAATTCCTGAATTGTAAATTTATCAATATATATACATGAACAATTTATTTATGAATTCATGAACAGTTAATTCATGACTATATGTAGGGTTAATAATGACTGAATCCACACATTATCTTATAAACAGTCAATTAATTAATCAACCAAAATTTACTTTTGCAAATATCATGAATAGATACACCAACATTATTATATTTTATGAAAGACTCTTGGTATCTCTGCAGTACACGACTCACAGTAACTCTGCAGTACACGACTCACAGTAACTCTGCAGTACACGACTCACGGTAACTGCAGTACACGACTCACAGTAACTCTGCAGTACACGACTCACGGTAACTGCAGTACCCAGCTCACAGTAACTCTGCAGTACACGACTCACAGTAACTCTGCAGTACATGACTCACGGTAACTGCAGTACACAGCTCACAGTAACTCTGCAGTACACGACTCACAGAAACTCTGCAGTACACGACTCACAGTAACTCTGCAGTACACGACTCACGGTAACTGCAGTACACGACTCACAGTAACTCTGCAGTACATGACTCACGGTAACTGCAGTACACGACTCACAGTAACTCTGCAGTACACGACTCACGGTAACTGCAGTACACAGCTCACAGTAACTCTGCAGTACATGACTCACGGTAACTGCAGTGCATGACTCACAGTAACTCTGCAGTACACGACTCACAGTAACTCTGCAGTACACAGCTCACAGTAACTCTGCAGTACATGACTCACGGTAACTGCAGTGCATGACTCACAGTAACTCTGCAGTGCATGACTCACAGTAACTCTGCAGTACATGACTCACAGTAACTCTGCAGTACATGACTCACGGTAACTGCAGTACACGACTCACAGTAACTCTGCAGTACACGACACACGGTAACTGCAGTACACAGCTCACAGTAACTCTGCAGTACACGACTCACAGTAACTCTGCAGTACATGACTCACGGTAACTGCAGTACACAGCTCACAGTAACTCTGCAGTACACAACTCACAGAAACTCTGCAGTACACGACTCACAGTAACTCTGCAGTACACGACTCACGGTAACTGCAGTACACGACTCACAGTAACTCTGCAGTACACGACTCACGGTAACTGCAGTACATAACTCACAGTAACTCTGCAGTACATGACTCACAGTAACTCTGCAGTAAACGACTCACAGTAACTGCAGTACATGACTCAAGGGAACTCTGCAGTACATGACTCACGGTAACTCTGCAGTAAACGACTCACAGTAACTGCAGTACATGACTCAAGGGAACTCTGCAGTACATGACTCACGGTAACTCTGCAGTACACGACTCACGGTAACTCTGCAGTAAACGACTCACAGTAACTGCAGTACATGACTCAAGGGAACTCTGCAGTACATGACTTACGGTAACTCTGCAGTACACGACTCACGGTAACTCTGCAGTACACGACTCACGGTAACTCTGCAGTACATGACTCACGGTAACTCTGCAGTAAACGACTCACAGTAACTGCAGTACATGACTCAAGGGAACTCTGCAGTACACGACTCACAGTAACTCTGCAGTACATGACTCACGGTAACTCTGCAGTAAACGACTCACAGTAACTGCAGTACATGACTCAAGGGAACTCTGCAGTATATGACTCACATTGACTCTACAGTAAACGACTCACAGTAACTGCAGTACATGACTCACATTGACTCTACAGTACATGACTCACGGTAACTCTTCTGTACATGACTATAACCAATGTGCTGTATATGTAATATCTAAGTGAAGCCAATCTCCTTGTAAGAAACTGTTGTTTGTTACATTCAAAATCATAAAATATATCACTAAACAATACTTTTTCATCTTAAATGCTTCAATATAAGCATTGCCTGATTCATTTTAAAACTGGTATTGCACTTCCTTTAATGCATGACAAAGTTACAGTCCTGACACAATTGGGACTGACAGACTGACAGATCGGTGCAATGTTAACAAACCGCCCTTTAGGGGCATATATAACTAATTCAGTTTTATCATTATAAAACATAGTTAAAATCTATACAGGTATTTTAAAACTTAATCTTACTTAAACTTTTAACATTTTAAAAGACCTTATATATAGTAGTCCCCGCAGGTACCGTGTCCTTGCCAATTCCGATGTAATCAGAAACTTTGTTTCTTTACGAATTGAATGCCGCCAAATACTGTTTCCACCCTTAATGTGAAAGTGGAAGTGCTGCTTTTTGTGAATTTGGATAGAAAATGTTAGAATTTTTTTTCATTTCAAATAAATTCTGTCATTCATAGGAAAATCCAAAGCTGCCTGCGTGTGCTGAAAAAACTTCTTTACTTTACCCCATATATAACGGTTAAACTTAAAATTTCATGTTCCGCCAAGTGCAGGTCGTCTGCTGAAACTGTAGTGACAGCAAATTCTGTTACAAAAAATTATACTGAAGCCAAAAAGGGCCATCAATTAACCATATCACAGTACCATAGTGCTCTCCCTATAAGCTCCCATTCTAAACATGGCTGACCGACCATAGATGTTTCTAATTAAAATCATTGAGTTATTCTATGAATGACATGTGTATTTTGAAGTCAAAATGCGACGGGTAAACACAATTCAATAAAATAGTAAATATAAGTTCTTTTTATTTGTACAATTTGCTGGAAATAATAAGAACAGTGGTACCATAGGGGACCATCCTAACTGAAATAAAATACCCGTACAAAGAATCTTATGTTGTCATCAAACACCTGCAAGCTGTTGGTAATAATGTTTTGAATTTATTATCGCATTTTTACTCAAAGAAAAAAAATACTCCTTAATCAATTTTAGAACTTATTCTTTCTAATACAATTACTTTTAATCAACAGTTCCACACAAGGAGGTTGCAGGTGCATACATGTGACAGTCTGTGAAAAATAACGCTTCCACAAATATTATCTGAATTAAGAAGTACACAGTATATAATGATCAACATAACTCAATATTTTATTGGGCTTTACATAATATAGGGTTACATTCAATATTCAAAATAACATTTAGTGATTTATATTGTTTCTTTTTAATTACAATGAAAGATATGAGGCATAATACAAAAACACCTTCTGAAATCAGAGATACATATGAAATAACTGTTACCATGGTAATATAAATAGATATAAAACTTAAGATTCCATTTTAAGACACTAGTTACTTATTTAACAGAAGTAAAAATTGTGTACATTATCATTGTCTCACATTATCAACAAATTTTTCATGTGTATGTGTTTTTTTTTTAATTGTGACAACACTGTATCTGGACATGCATGTTGATTTATTCTAAGTAAGATAAAGAAAAATTTGATGAATTCTTAATATTAAAATGCTGAGTTTACAAACAAAAACAATCACAAATAATAATGATGCAGACAGATCTGTGAAGAGGAAAATACAATTTATCAAATAATTAACATTTTTTTCCTTGTATACTAAACCCAACAAGTATGTCTACCAATCTGAATAAGTAATAAGAAGTCCTTTTTGTTAACTTATTTCTAAACATTTAGAATAACTGTGTTTCTTTTTATGTCCGAAAGATTCAAATAGGGTATATTATAATTATATATAATTATGCACCAAGCATACTTTTCTGAAACTTTCAATATTTCTTTAACATACTGTATTAGAGATTCCAATGACCCAACCCCTGTGTCTCTTTTCCCCTCGCCCCTTCCCCCCCCCCCCCCCAGGCTTACATCTCCCTACCCTATCCTGTCCAGCAGAGATACGCACAATATCTCAATAATTCATGTACAATTATAATACAGTGTAAATAACAACAAAGAAAAACAACAATTATTTACACAAATTATTTACAAAGAAAAAAACAACATTATATACATATATATTTATTTACAAACTTTATCATTAGAACATATCTGTCAATCGTACCCGTATTTATGAACATGACTATTTCAAATCATGTTAACCAGTACCACATCATTATTCAATCATTATGTACACAATATTTATAAAATCAATACATATATATGTATATATGTAACATACAAGCAAATCATTTAAATGTCATAGAAAAAACTTGTTGATTAAAAAACATTTATTTAATAATAATGAAATGGACAATAATGTAGATACAATTTATGTAAACAAACAAAACGTAATGATAAAAATGACTTGGTAATTACATAGAGATAAAAGCTTGTGGGAATGTGCATGCTTAAAATGTTTTTTTAAAAAAAAGATTTGTTTCTTACAATCCTTTAAAATCAAGCATCATATATTTAGTTCTTTGTTAAACTGTGTTATATAGTTAGTTCTTTGTTGAAATGTGTTATATATTAAGCTTTCAGTTAAATTGTTAAATTCTGTCCCAAGTTAAATTTTGTTATATATTTAGTTCTTAGTTCAACATATTAATTTAAACATATTTATTTCAATATTTCACAAATATATAATATACACAATCCTTACATATACTTGAAAAGGATAAAAACAAAAGATGTGTCACAGGTTAAGTTCTTAGTTCAAGTGTGATATAGTTTTAGTCTAAGTTCAACAATGTTATACATGTATATTTACTACTTTAATAATCTGCATTATGTATTAAGCTCTTAGTTAAACTGTGTTATATATGTAGTTCTGTTATATTAAGTTCTTAGTTAACCTGTGTTATATATGTAGTTCTGTTATATGTTGTTCTTATAGTTAACCTGTGTTATATATGTAGTTCTGTTATATGTTGTTCTTAGTTAAACTGTGTTATATATGTAGTTCTGTTATATGTAGTTCTTAGTTAAACTGTGTTATATATAATTCTTAGTTATGTAGTTTTTAGTTAAATATTAACTGCCTGAATTTTACAAAATTTCACTGTAAAAATCCTTGAGATAATAATTTGCCTATGCTATCAATACATCTGTCAGACCAACCAGTGTAAGGTGTTCCCATGCTCAATATTGTTTGATACTCAAACTTGTAACTCTCTAAACTTCCCTTACATTGTTTCAAATTAAAAATGGAACAAAGACATTTCTTTTCTTTTTAGTTTCAATAGCAAGAAATTTATGAAAATATGTATGAATTTATTACTTAATTAACAGACAACGAAAGAAAACTGTAAACATATGGATGCCACTGGATGAACAGAAACTGTACAAAATTGACCTAAAGTAACAAAATGAGATCAAATCTTAAAAATTTTGACAAATATTGCATTGATCAATTCAATGAAAATAAAAAAGTAGACAAGAAAGATAGTGTATATAACATGTTACAATTGAAACAACAGAAAGAGAGAAAACGCAATATGATACATGAAATAGGACAAAAAGTAACTAATTAAAGGGACTCCACTAAAGGTTATTGACAAGATTGGACTGGAAATATTAATGAGCGGTGTCATGACAACACCAACATAATGGGTTTGCGACCAGCATGGATCCAGACCAGCCTGCGCATCTGCGCAGTCTGATCAGGATCCATGCTGTTCGCTATCAGTTTCTCTACTTGTAATAGGGTTTGTAAGCGAACAGCATGGATCCTGATCAGACTGCGCGGATGAGCAGGCTGGTCGGGATCCATGCTGGTCGTAAACCCATTATGTTGGTTTTGTCATGGCACGGCTTATTTGTTTTTTTCTGAGATTTGTATACCAGTAAATGTATGTCTGGACCAATAACTTGTGTACAAATTTTCATGTCATTCCCTTGCCCCGTTTTTTCTACGATGATTATTTTTATAGTGCAAAATGACCCAAAAATAAACGGTGTTACAATGCTTTTCACTCAATTCCGACTAGGTATCACATAAAACAAATTGATTTCCAATTTAATTCTGAGTATATTTCTTTGTTATCCATTGTAGATTTTCCATTTTAAGAGCTACATAATTATGATATAACTATGATAATTTCAAATTTTTTACATTTTATTCATTTATATGGGAAAAATATTGCGTCATGACATTTAAAAAAATTGACTTTTTTAAGTTATTGCTGCCAATGTTGAAAAAAAAACATTAATTTTCTTTTCAGAAGAAATATTAAAAGTATTGGCGAGTCTTAATTATATAACTGCACAATTAAGAATTTTTCCAGTTTTTCCTTTTATTTTCATGTACCACAACACCTGTTGTCATCTATTAATCATGCTTTTTTGATAATTTCATATCAAGCATATTTTTCTTCCAAGATGTATACATGAATACAGTAATCAAATGTCATCTCTTGCTTTTAGTAAAATACAACAATGTTTTTTATATTACACAGATGTGAATGAAAAGCCATCTAATTTAACAAAAATAATATTCATCTGCTTTGATTGGTAAAAAAAACATTCCTAAATGCACGCTAATTTTTCACCAACAATAGTAAGTACTGGAATAGGGTGACCAAAATGCTGAATATGTTGTTATTTGCTATAACTATTGATAAGACAATGATTTCAACATCTTCTAAAACAAATGTATATGAAAGGGCAACATTTTTTTAGAAAAATAAACATAATGATTAATAATTCTCAATTTACAGGTGATAAAAAAACTTTGAACATTAATTTTTTTGTCTTAAATATGAACATTTTTCAGGAAACTTATCACAGAAAAAAACTTACTGTTTATTTGTTTGTGTTTCACTGCAATTCAATACATTACTGATCAAAATGTACTTACTTAGCTTGCACAATGCTTGTTTACACACATGCTCTTAAACTTTGGTACATGTATAATATAATAACTAAAACCACATCACAATATAATTTCATATATGACCTTTTTCATTTCAAAAAATATTAAATTTTCCAATTTAGATATTATACATTTATCTATAATCTTCTATGTCACAATACCATGTTAACCTATATTATTTATATAAAATTTTCAATTATTGAAGGTTTAATGATTATCAATTTAACAAAACATAATCTATCTTTCATATTTTTTAACAAACATTATCTACTTTGATCAGAAAACAAATCGTTCAGATACTTAATTCTAAAACAAGTACATAACTAATGGTAAAACTGTAAAAACTTATCTGTTACGGTAATAACATTAAAAACAAGAGGGCCATGATGGCCCTGAGGTCGCTCACCTGTATATAGGCCGCCCCAACCCCCAGGGCTTTTATTTGCACAAACTTGGTAGACACCCATAAGAAAATGTTTCATGCTAAACATCTAAGCTCTAGCTCATTGGGCTATTTAAAAGAAGATTTTTTTAAAGTTTTTACTATACACATATAGTTAAAAACAATGACACGCCTGGGGCCGGGCCAGTTATGACCCCAGGGTTTTTATTTGAACAAACTTTGTAGACACTTACTAGAATATGTTTCATGCTTAATATCTAAACTCTAGCTATTTGGGTTTTTTCAAAGAAGATTTTAAGTTTTTGCTATACACATATAAGGAAAATCAATGACCCCGGGGCAGGGCCAATTTTGACCCCAGGTCTTTTATTTGAACAAACTTTGTAGACACTCACTAAAAGATGTTTCATGCTTAATATCTTAACTCTAGCTATTTGGGTTTTTTCAAAAAAGATTTTTTAAGTTTTTGCTATACACATATAAGGAAAATCAATGACCCCCGGGGCGGGGCCAATTTTGACCCCAGGGCTTTTATTTGAACAAACTTGGTAGACACCTATTAGAACATGTTTGATGCTAAATATCTTAACCATAGCTCTTTGAGTTCTTTAATAGAAGATTTTTAAGTTTTTACTATATGCATATATAGGGAAAAATCAATGACCCCCGAGGTCAATTTTGACCCCAGGGCTTTTATTTGAACAAACTTGGTAGACACTTATTAGAACATGTTTCATGCTAAATATCTTAGCTCTAACTCTTTTGGTTCTTTAAAAGAAGATTTTTTAAGTTTTTACTATATGCATATAGGGAAAATCAATGACCCCCTGGGGCGGGGCCAATTTTGACCCCAGGGCTTTTCTTTGAACAAACTTGATAGACACCTATTAGAACATGTTTGATGCTCAATATCTTAGCCATAGCTCTTTGAGTTCTTTAAAAGAAGATTTTTTAAGTTTTCACTATATGCATAAAGGGAAAATCAATGACCCCCCGGGGCGGGGCCAATTTTGACCCCAGGGCTTTTATTTGAACAAACTTGGTAGACACTTACTAGAAAATGTTTCATGCCAAATATCTAAGCTCTAGCTCTTATGGTTTTTTAAAAGAAGATATTTAAAGTTTTTTCTTTCGGTTGCCATGGCAACCAGAGTTCTGCATGGAATTAAATTCTTTGAACAATTTTTAAAGGTGACCACCAAAGGAACATTCCTGTGAAGTTTGGATGAAATTGGCCTTGTGGTTTATGAGGAGATGTCATTTAAAGTAAAAGTTTACGGACGACGGACGACGGACGGACGGACGCCGGACGAAAAGCGATCACAAAAGCTCACCCTGTCACTTTGTGACAGGTGAGCTAAAAACTTATCTGTTACGGTAATAACATTAAAAAAATTCATTAACACTTTTGCCACCTTTCATATGAAATATCATCCACCACATTGCCCCATGCAGCAGTGTGGGTAAAGATTTGACTCATTTTTCCTCCTATATCTTTCACTAGGAAGAAATACAAGGCTGGAGCATAAAATTACATGCAATGAAATTTCTATTAAAAAAATATAAAAAATCTATATCCATTACGCATTCAATTAAAGGTACATGATTTTTATTGCTATAAGAGAAAACACGTGCTTGCTCTTTTTAACATTTAACTTGCTGACACTGAAGATATTACCCTCTGACACCTTTAAAGCCAGACCAGCCTGTACAGCCTCATTAGGCTCTATACTATTGGCTCACTTATTCTTAATTTTATCTTGATTTTCCTTGAATTAATATTATAAGATTCCAAAAATAGAAATTGGACATGTCCATTGAAAGTATTTGGCGTGCTCAGGATTAAAACAAGCGCGGGAAAAAAGCCAAAATATTTTCACAAGTATCTTATATTTTTGAAACCATACATTTTCTTATATTAAAACCTTTGCATGGAACTGCCTTGCTATTTATTTCAGTCACTTAAAAAACATACAATAAATTCTACCATAAAGAAATTTTCAATCAGATAAAAAATTAAGTTAAAATTGAAACAAATAAGTCTGAAAATTTAATTTCACTGGTTTTATTTTGATGAACAATTTCAATATCTACATAATATGTCACATGAATATCATACCTGTACAACCAATGTTGCAAAGTTCTGTTGTTTCTTGAACTGATGTACAAACAAATAAATTCATATCATATAATTATCAGAGCTTACTTATTTACATGACTTATAACTTAACTAACAGCACAAACTGGTGTAAAACATAACTAGAACTAGAACAAACTAATATTTTATCACATTTCCAATCTAGATAAAAGTTTCAACATAAGTAAACTAGGGATTGGTATACCTTCATTTATCAAGGCATTTCAGTGATTTACTATCTCAACCATATAAATCAATCCTATTACAAACAAGAAACTTAAAAGTAGGAAATTATTCTTCATTTGAATTTATAAACTATTTTCTTCTTATTTAACATACAGTAGAACTTCTATGAGACGAACTTCGATTAGCCGATTTTCTCAATGTGTCGAAGTAAACTGAAAGTCCCGATTTTTTCTCTTATATATTCCATATAAAAACCTATTCATGAGTCGAGATTTTATGTGTCGAATTTTTCGATGTGTCGAAGTTTTTTCATGGTCCGTATAGAATAAATCTAGTACAATTTACCACAAATAAGTCGAAGTCCTTCGATTATTTTGACACCTTCGATCTCGAGACATTTTTCACACCTTTTCTTGCCGCGAAGACGATTTCCGATCAACTTAAGTGACACGTGTTAATTACACAGCCAAGTGTTCAAACAACCTTTAAATGCGTTTAAATGTGTGAAAACATGCTTTAAAAAATAGTTACTAATTTAATTGCCGTAGCGGTATTTGAAAGTACATGTAAACAGTAAGAACAAACATACTTCCGTGACCCGGTGTCGCGTGATAATCACACGCTAAAATATGTACTATAAGCTGGTTAAGTTATTGCCTTTTCGAAGTGTTACGCCTTTTGTAACTTCATTGTATACGTCAACAGGTAGTTCAAATCATTAGCCGTGAAAAGTAACATAACATGTCATATTTATCATTGCATAAAGTAAAATGTCAGATTAATAAATGAAAGAAAACATGAAATAGGTGACGTAATATATATTATAATTAGGGCTAGTCACAGATTAAAATTTTGTCATAGAATTCAGAACCATTGATGAGTCGAAGTCCCGATGTGTCGAAGTTTTTACGCAAGTCCCTCCAACTTCGACTTACCGAAGTTCTACTGTAATTAACAAATAACAACAAAACAATTCTAACAATATCACATGTTGATTTTAACCTTGGTCAAGAAAACCATCAGTACAACATCAAAACCATTTCAGTAGAAGGTAATTAATGAAATATCTTTATCACATGGCAAAGAACTGACTAACATTAATTTTAGGACAGAAAAATGGAACATATACAAGTTTGAACAAAAATGATACAACAAAATTATATATAGATACAGATCATAATAGATGTTTTTTATTATAATGTTCAACAATGTTCTAAGATGTAGTCGAGATTTCAAACAATACAAAAATAAACGAGCTAATGTCACATGACCTTGAACTTCGACCTCTGATGGTAACATACAGAATGACATGTAACCATAGTAACTACGACTGATAGCTGTTTGATTTATACAATTTAAAGCAGCTTGTGATATAAGATTACACTTATGACAAATATAGAATGTTGAATCTTTTAAATTGGTGAGAAAAATGCCAGGAATCAAATGTTAGTAAATTATGCACTGGCTAACTGTAGGTATTGTTGAGACATTGTCGTATATCCACTGGTATGTTACTTCCCCTTGTTAAAACTCAGTCATATATCCCCAGGTATGTTACATCCCCTTGTTAAAACTCAGTTATGTAACTCCTTGGGGTAGGATCTTGTCGCCTGAACTAAGATGCCACCGGTATGATCTCCAGCCTCTACTTTGTGAATCACGCTGTTTACATAGTCAGTTGTGTGACCTCCAACCATTTCTCCTACACAGTAAAAAAAGCAATGAGTAAGTCAGGAGTACATAATGTGTTTTAACCTTTTAAATATAAGAGAAAAGGTTAAAACAAACTTCCATAAAATCAACAATGTCTATATCAAATTCATATCAAATTGTTGTAATGCTACAGTAAAAAGTGCCATCAATCTGCTTCAACAGTAAAATGTGCCTTATGTTCGGGATGTAAGCACACACTATACTTACATTCTATAAAAAGTTATTTTTCTTAATTCTTAAACAGAAAATCATTTGAATTGTAAGTAAATGAGCACAAAGCTACATCAATATACTCTGGCGAGTATTTTCTGTAGGAATTCATCCCTGTCTTAGAGTCAACACTGTTTCTGTGTATTTCACAAAGTCTCAACAAATGTTCGTTAAGAAAGAGAAAGTTTGGTATTTTAACATCAAAGTAAATTTAATGCAAGATCATTAGAGAAAATATAGTATCAAGAAAATATATCAAACTACCACTTTAAAATGCTTAGGGTAACAAATTATGGCAAACCCATGGATATATGAATCATAAAATGTTATAATATCTTACCAAGATGTTTTTTAATAAGAGATTCAAGAATCTCGGACATTGATCGTTTGTCATCCGTCTGCTCTTTTTTAAGACGCGTATAAAGCTTCTGTCGAATGAGATGTATCACAGTCAGCAGACGACGGTGCTCCAACTCTAACCCGTGCAACTTCACTTTGTTTGCTTCATGTTGTGCCTTCTTCTTCAACCGACATGCCCTATAATACACATAAATGAATGTAAAATTATAAACTTGCAAGATTTAACTTTGCCAAAATTTGTTTTGCATGGCTCTAAAACTTATCTTAAATATTGACTTTAGGAATTATATTAATATAAAATGCTTTCATTACATTCTTATGACAATCATGATCTGACTGTGTTGCCAGTTTATACCAAAACCAGTTCAAGCCCAGACCAGGTTATACCCAAACCAGCTTGTCTATACCAATAGTCTTACCATACTGTCTACTGAATAACATAATAACTACATGTATACTTAAATCCCTAAAATTATCAATTGGATAGGTCCATATTACAAGCTGGTTAAATTCATTTTACAAAGTCAGCTTAGTTTGGGTTAAAATTTTGATAATTATAGAACATATCCATTGACAGACTATGAATTTTTTCATAAGTTATGCATAACCTACATTGTGTTATAATACAAGTATTTTTATCTTTAATAACACTAAGAAGATTCAACTAAATCTTCAGTTTGTTTACTTGCTCGACTTTATATCAATTTTGTTTTTATTTACAAACTTTATCTTGTTAGTGTTTATGTTGACAATCAAGTATTAAGAAATCATGAACTGATTATCTTATCAGAGGAAAACACTGACCTTGAAGCAAGCTTGTTTTTCTCTTTTCTCGATTTACTTCTTGCCTGGGATGGAAGCTCGCTAGCTGGAACAAAGTCATTTATTTGCCCATTTATCTTTCTTAACTGCAGGCCTATTTGACATAACTTTTTGGGACTTGGGACAATGTCATTTCCATCCCCTTTCCTTGCCTTACCCCCATGCTTGATTGAAACCCCAATACTAGCCAAGTTCCCACTACTTGTGGAACCAAACACCGGGTCTTCAAAGTCATTCAGTACATGAGGGTCCTCTTCTAGATCAAACTTTACCCTTGTGCCCTTAGGGCCCTTTGACTGAACATTATACTGCCAGAAATACTGTTTTTCTTTGGTGCCAATGAGGCTCTCTGAGGGATTCAGGGAACCAATATCATGGCCTCCTTCTAAATCTGAAAAAAATAAATATCGTAAAATAAAATATATTTTATTTATAATATTAATTATATTAATATAATATTTTGTATAAAATATTATACAAACCAGTGTAAAAAAAAACTCTTTCTAAATTGAACAAGTGATATTGAAATTAGCAAGTACTAATGATAGTGATTTCAAGCATCTTCATACACTGACATTTAACATGTAAATGTATTTGAGCCGTGTCACAACTAAAAACCAACATAATGGGTTTGCGACCAGCATGGATCCAGACCAGCCTGCGCCTCCGCGCAGTCTGATCAGGATCCATGCTGTTCACTATCAGTATCTCTCCTTGTAATAGAGTTGGTAAGCAAACAGCATGGATCCTGATCAGACTGCGCGGATGCGCAGGCTAGTCTGGATCCATGCTGGTCGCAAACCCATTATGTTGGTTTTGTCGTGACGCGGCTCATTTATAAAAGCTGTAAGAGATAAGATGCAGCATTATCATAATTAACTCAATGACCCAATAAATTACAACATTGTCATGTGAATTAACTTCATGTATTTTTGTAGGAAATATCAAAACCTCATTACGATATTAATTTGGTTTAAACAACTGAAAATCCTTAAACAAAACATCTACTGTTTAGCCTACCTTAAATAAAAATTATTCAACTTTTTCTATATCAAACAAATTATCATAAAACTTAACAACTTTAATTTGAATTACTACTTCAAGATAAACCCTTTTACTAATTGTAACAAATTTTTCAAGATTCATATGAGCCGCGTCACACGCAGTCTGATCAGGATCCATGCTGTTCGCTATCAGTTTCTCTACTTGTTATAGGGTTGGTAAGCGAACAGCATGTATCCTGATCAGACTGTGTAGATGCGCAGGCTGGTCTGGATCCATGCTGGTCGCAAACCCATTATGTTGGTTTTGTCATGACGCGGCTCAATTATGTATTATTAATTGATTATTCTGCAAAAAGTAAATAAACTCACATGTATGTAAACATTAAATGCAATCAATAACAATGTAATCATCTTAACTCTTTATGCATCAAACACGTTATTTTATATTTTAAATTATTCATAACACTACTATAAAACACAGATCAAGAATGAATTCTATTTCTCCATTAATGCCCAACCTGCAGAATTTCATGAACAGACTTTTATAACTAATTGTGCAGCCATTCTTTATCATGTTTGGGAATATCAGCCAGCTTAAATAGAGACTGTCACCAGGCTGCACAGATATACAGGCTGGCCTGATTCTATACTGGTGGCAAAGATTTATTTTTTTTACAGAAAGCTTGTGGTAATACCACCAGAATTTTTGCCACGCCATCTGCAAAGCCATAAAATTTTACCGCTTTTTAATCTGTTGACCCCTTAGATTAAGTACTTTGATACACTGTCTTTTTCTACAAATTGTCATGTTAGTGCAATACTGGTTAACTCCTATTTAATTTAGAAGGACTAAACACTTTACTGCACTAAGCTACGTGACAAAATGATGTGTTCCAAATTCAAACAGTCTTGGTCAATTGTACAAAATCATCAGAGTTTAAAAGGTTTCAACACTAATAATAAATAACACTGTGTCCAATAGATTAATAAGTAACCAAAAGGTTTCAACACTTATAATAAATAACACTGTGTCCAATAGATTAATAAGTAACCAAACTATTGTATCATGTATTACATATACAAAAATTTTAACTTACTAAGAAAATACTAATGCTGATTTTCATTTATCAGGCTTGATTGATATGAGCCGCGTCACGACAAAACCAACACAGTGCGTTTGCGACCAGCATGGATCCAGACCAGCCTGCGCATCTGCCCAGTCTGATCAGGATCCATGCTGTTCGCTTACCAACTCGAGAAACTGATAGCGAACAGCATGGATCCTGATCAGACTGCGCGGATGCGCACTATGTTGGTTTTGTCATGACGCGGCTAATATGATGGTAAAACAAGCAGATGATTGAGAATAACTTATTGAAAATATAATGACAAACTTTGCAGGGCTTTATAACAACAACAGTTATTGTTATATACAAAGCTATATAAATTTAACTAACCATGAGCACTTCTTCACACTTACTAAAGAATAAGAAATTAAGACAAATAAGCATAACTTTTATATATACCTGAATCAGAGTCATCATCAAAATCTTTGTCACTGTCAGAATCCTCATCTTCATTAGAGGTCAAGGTCATGACAGAGCTGGTTGAATCTAAAAATAGTAACACAATGGTCAACAATTAGGTTATTACTATTTTTTTCACAAAAGTAATCATAAAAGCTGTAAGATCTTAAAATACACAAAGTGCACAAATAACAAGAACTGTCGTAGGACAGAAAGGCTCGACTATTCGAAAAAGTTGTCACAAGGGTGTTTTATTGAGTATAATAATGCTTACCTATGAATACATAAAATTGACCAAAAAGGTACAAAGGCTTGTTATTAAGATGTTTTACAAAGGCTTGTTATTAAGATGTTTTATCAAGTAAATCACTGCTTTATGAATGCATAAAATTGTCCCAAAAAGGCACAAACCCTTCAGTATTTATGGAGATAACAGCTTACAAGCAAATCTTTACCATGAAAAAGGGGAGAAAAATCAGCCTAAATGCAAGAAAGAATTATGGATCTTGGTCAGTGGCCTACAATTATGACCCTAAATGAAAAATTTGTGAAGTTTTAAATAAATATCTTTAATAGTTATTGAGATATGTAAAACTTGCATGTAAACATTAACCGAGAGACTATGTAGAAAAGGGGAGATAAATCAGCCTAAATGCAAGATAAAGTTATGGAACTTGGTCAGTGACATACAATTATGACCCTTCATGCATATGTGAAGTTTCAAATTAAAATCTTAAAGTTATTGAGATATGTAAAACTTACATGTAAACATTAACCTAGAGACTAAGTAAAAAAAAAGGAGATAAATCAGCCTAAATACATGACACAGATATGAGTGCTGTTTAGTGATCATTATTTATGACCACAAATATACATATGATCTTGAGATGTGACCTTCAATTATGACCCTAAGTACATGTGTAAAAGTTTCAAGTAAATATCTTTATAGACCTTTAACCTTTAACCAAAATTTCTTAGTTTCAAAGGGGCAAATAATTCTGCAAATATTGCAGGCAGAGTTATGCAACTTTGCAAACTGATGTACATTGTTACTATAAAAAAGAATTGTAAATTTCAATTGAATATCTCAATAATTGAGATTTTTGACTTTACAAAAAACTTCAACCAAAATTTCTAAGTTAAAAAGGGGCATAATTCTGTAAATATTGCAGACAGAGTTATCCAACTCGTCAATCTAATGTACGTTGTTACTATAAATCAGTTTTCTAAGTTTCACTTGAATATTATAAGCAATAATTGAGATTTTTGACTTTACAAAAAACTTTAACCAATGCAGACGCCGACATGGACGCCGGGGCGACTACAATAGCTCTCATGTTCTTCGAATAGTCAAGCTAAAAATATCAGATCACAATTTGCCAATGTTTCTCAAAGACTTTGTAACAAACTGACATATGCTGTAAGGTTATTGTCACTAATTTATATCTGCATGCTAATGTCCTTAAAAGATTAGAAAGTAAAGTACCCTCTATCTCATTAAAAACAGTTTGCGTCATCGTGGATTTAAAGACAGATGAAAAAAATATTACCAGTGTGGGAGACTTTACAACCCTAATATGAAAAAAGACCATTTTGATATTAATGACAAAATATTGTAACAGTTATAACTTACCGTATCTAGTTCTCTCCCTTTTCACTGTTGGAGCAGACGGAACCTCACCAATGTTTTGAGTTTCCATGTGGAGGAACTGTTTAATTTCCTCCCACTTTAACTCCATACTGTCCAGCCCAGCTGACCCTACTGACCTTTTACGTGACACTGGTTTACTCAATGTCTGTGACTCAGACACAGCTCGTTTACGACCGCCCCTAGCCTGCTGGGGCTGTGCTTTCAAAAGTCTTTGCATTGTTTTATAGTCTGAAATATCAAGTTCCTTTATGGTTGTCAATGGAGCTTTATGCTCCACTACTACCTGCGGCACAATAAGTTCTGGTTTAACAGCCGTCATTGGTGTGAAAGACTTATGATACTCCTCAGCACAACTACCATCTGTCTCCATTGGCTCAGTTTTCACAACTGTCCTGGAAATTTGACTCTGTGCAAACTGACCACTACTACCTGTGGACAGACGCACACCACTTCCACCAGTCTGTCCTCTCAGATCAAATGAACGCTCCTTTTCCAAACTTTGCCCTCTTTCCAGTTTCACATTAGTTTCTGAACATGACACATTTGAACCAACTTTCATCTCGAAATTTATATATGACTCAATGTCATCGAGAAGATCAACATTCATGTTCAACTCGGCCAATGTTGGAGCAGCAGACACAGGAATGTCTGGTGACTCAATTTTGATATAGACATCTTGATTTGCCGATTTCATGTTGTCACTCCACACAGACAAATTACATGTATTCTGCATCATCTGTGAAATAGAGTTTCGATTGGATGTGGCAGATACATCAGTCAGTGGGAAACTACTGATGTCCTGCGATACTTCATATTGCGTTTTCAGATCAAAATCGTCTGCTGCAGAGTTGCTTTCAAGACTCGTACAGGTTGTGTTCACACCCATACTACTTTGCATGTCTATTTTTTCTTGTTCATAAATATGAAGAGAATTAGGACTTGAGGCATAAATACTGGCATCAGTGAAATCTGTGGATAGCGGTAAATCTCCGCACGTGTTTACAAAAAGTTGGTGGTCGACTAAACCTATGCTGGACCTACTCTCCATTGTCTCAGTTATTTCTTTGGGCTGGAAAAAACAATATTTTACTGTTCATAAATATTCAATTGTTTATAAATGAGTGTACAGAGTTGAATATATTATCTTAGAATAGTTACACTATGTACATGTACAATAATCTTTATATTTTAAATAATTTGGTTGAGTTTTTTTTTCTTTCCTTCTTTTTGGTTAGGTTAAATGTCGCACCAACACTTAAAAGGCCTTTTTCCAGCTTTACTGGTAGAGGAAGACCTTAGGTGCATTATTTCAGGCACAAATGGTTACTTAAGTAGAACCACTTAAGAATATAAGCTAACAAGATAGCTTCCTAACATGAAAGAATCTGGGGGAGGAGATTAAAAACCTAGCGGTGTGGAGCAAGTGGTTTGAAGTCAGTAAGTCAAAGATCTTAACCACTCAGCCATTATCACACTTAAAACCTAATTAATTACATCATCAGTCAGACAAAAATATCTGAAGCCTGAAACAACATCATTTTGAAATTCCAAATAAAAAACAGGGCATTACACTGAGAATGAATATTCATTATATGGCCATTGATAAAAAGTTCAGAACACACTTGAATGATTCCAACAGACTGAAAACAATAATCCAATATCCCATAAAAACCGAAATAAAAAAAAACAACTTTGTAATGAATGTAATACAGCAATTATCTCAAAGCATATGATACAGTATAATTTTCAATACCCATTTAATATCAATATTTAAATACTAGTAAGATACCTTAATTCAAAATAATGTAACTGTTTAAGAACCCTTGTATACAGTAAGAGTGGTACTAAATAAGAACACAATTTCCGAGACAAAAGTCAAAGCTGCAAAGCCACAGATACAAAATTTATAATTATTCTACACATAAAGGTAATATTACAATTTCAATGTCTAAAAGTAATGAATTTATTTATCATTTTTCATGAAATTGACATTTTTTTCCTTAAAAATCTTAGACTTACCCTCTCTTTGGCCTCTATATTGCCTCCAGTCATGTGAGACTGGAGGTCTAATGGTATTTTCTCACGAATGGGTTGGGAATGTACACCTGGGTCAATGAACTGGTCAGTAGATAATTGTTGGTTCCTAGCACTTGGACTAGTGTTCGGAAACTGACCAGTAATTTGCTGCTGAAGCTGCAATGCTCTTTGCCTCTGTTGGGCTTTTATGGAATTTTGTAAATTCAGAAGTTGTTTTCTGATATTAAGTTCTTGCTGAAGTTTTGATGCTAACTGCTGCTGACTAGGGATCACTTCCTGGGCTATGCTTTGAGGAGATGACACTTCTTCCTGTCCTTGTTTCTGGGAGACTACCTGCTGTGATACAGTAGACAGCAGAGCTGTTGCTGCTTGCTGCTGTTGTTTTTGTTGTTGTTGCTGATTTTGTTGTAGTTGCTGCAACCTGAACTGTTGGAGTTTCTCAGGAGTTAGGCTTCTAAGCAACAGTTGTCTTATTAGTTCAGTTCCTTGTGTAGATTTTTGTGTCAGTGACAATAATGGTCTGTAAGCACCTTCTTGTGCTTGGGTAACAACAGGCAATGTTCTGGCTAAATGATGGACACTTTCTCCTATATTAACTGTTGATTTCTGACTTGTGAAGGTTTGTTGAATCAGCCCTTCACCTTGACTTGTTGTTGGAGATGGTATATACTGTGGTGGCTTTAAGATACCTGTTGATGTGTCTGTTAGAGTAATACTAGGAGTTGGGTATGTATCAGCTACAAGAATCGGACCTGGACTAGAATGTACTGCGCTCAAAGAGTTGGTAACAGTTGTAACAGCGCGGCTGCTAGCAGTTGTTGATAAACTCTCACCTCTAAAAATACAGAAGAAAAACAAAAAATTCAGTTATCTGGCACAAAATTATTACGTAATAATGATCCAATCACCTTTCTTGTGTCAATATTGTTTGGTACATCAAGAATTAGTTTAAATTTACTATCATAGATAGTTTGTAATCTTAACAGTTGTTTTGTACTAAGTTTAACAGTACTGCTATTCAACTGTTCTAATATTTATTTTTGTATTTCTTAGTTTTATATAATAGTTAGTTTGATTGAGTTATTTTATGTAAATATTTCCAAAAATTAGACATGCATGTGCCTTGTTAAAATGATTAATTAATTATACACATGTATAAAATGGTAAAAGACATTTTATTTTATAACTTTGTTTTAGTATTTTTATGTCATTTTCTTTGTTATTTATCATATCAACTGAAAAAGCTTAATAAAGCAAAACATGTATTGATAAACTGGGTTGGTTTATAAATCTTTTTATCATTTGTAAGTTTAAACAAATTCAAGCCCACTACAATTGAAAGTGATTTATGTCTATAGTGTTGAGTATATAAATACAATAAACAGGTGCTTCATAATGTTTTGTTTAGTTGTCTTCCTTAGAATGAACAAAGTACAACATTCAAGGCAGATGACGAGTCGGACATATTGATGGTACATTAGAGACCAAAGTAACAGTAACTGTACTCATTTCCCCAAAATGTTTTATATAGTGAATTGTGTTGAAGTTTGCATCACACACCTTACCAACATATACTGGCCTCAAAAAAGTCAAGTTAAAAGTAATTAATAAAAACTATGTTTTACTAAATGAGATGAATATAAATCAATGATTTATGTAGTGAACAAACTGTCTTTAAAATTTGTTTTTAAAATTCTAATGTTTTTGAATGATTTCATTCTGATACTATAAGGATTAAATCAAACTGATTCATGATTTCAACCATACTTTAAAATATCTACATGTATTTTCTGACTTCAGATCCTATTTTTTACACATCCATAAAAATACAATTTTATGCATTCCATAAATTTATTTATACTTTTATTCAGGTAGTAAAGTTGTTGTACTTTCACTTTCATTTACAAATTATCAGAACTGAAACCTGGCAATATAAAAATCAATTATTGATGGGACTCCACAGACACTTGGGGTTTGGAGCTCAAAACGCCTTTAAAATCCAAATAAAATGCATATTTGTCAATCCCAGGACATGTACTGATCATATATATCAAAAAATCTTAATATATGCCGTTTTGAAAAAAAAACATATTTCAACAACTATAATAATACTATTTATTATATACTTATAAATGAAATATTGAGAAATATTGATGAAATAAAATGCGTATTTTCATTTTCCGTATTTTCACTGTAAAAATTTATTTTTCACTGCAGTGAAACATATTTTCCGTATTTTCACTGGTGTCTTGCCGGACTACTTTCTTTAAAATTCTACCAGTACACAAAATTTAAGGGAAAGTTTTTCAAATTTTATCGCAAAAAAGAGAAAAATGTACATAATAAACAGAAAATTCAAGTTTTTTCTATAAATACATGATTTATTTTCATCTTGTGGCATGAAAATTACCATATTTCACTCGTGGCTACCGCCACTCATGAAATATTTATTTTCATACCACTCGATGAAAATAAATCATGTATTTGTAGAAAAAACTTGAATATCCTCTATATATTATATAATATTATTATAGATGTTGAAATATGAAATTTTTTCAAAACGGCTTATATTAAGTTTTTTTGATATATATGATCAGAACATGTGCTGGGATTGACAAATATGCATTTTATTTGGATTTTAAAGGCGTTTTGAGCTCCAAACCCCAAATGTCTGTGTGGGACTCAAGCAAAATCTTATTCTGAGTTTCACATATTAACAATTTTTGCAATAAGAAAAATCTAAAGTAACAAAATCTGCAATTCTAGATCATAATAAAAACCAACTTTCCTGCTTAAAATGAAACCAAAAATCAATTTCAGCAAAAGGCAAAACCAAGTCTGCACTTAATTACAACCACTTTAGAATTATTATATAAGTTCTACCTTTTCTAACATAAAATAAAACCAATTCCGGGAAAAAGAAAACTGAAAAACTGACCATTAAATCTTACTCAAGATATATGGGATACCAGTTAATTAAATCGGGAAAACCATTGATTTGAATTACCTGTTAATAGCTGTAATTGGTAAATCATTAAAAAAAAAATGAAAAAATATCATTATCAGTTTTTTACATTAAGATGTATTAAATAGACATCATAGAAATGAAAAGTTTAAAAAGTGTCAATAAATTAAAAGTTTCTGCTTAATAAAGTAGAATACAAAATGTAATACTTTATACAAATTATTCATAGTCTTTAGAACATTTTAAAACAAGAGCTGTTACTTGACTATTCTCAATGCTGACATTATTACTTTTATGAATTTTAAACAATTATTTTTTTTCCTTCCAATATCTTTTACATAATACAAATGTATTAAAATTTGATAAATAGTTATAATGTAAGCATGATATTGTATTACAATAACAACTGTAGGTATATAAACTGTAGGTATAAAGTATCAAACTTTTCATAAATAAAGAAAAAAAAACAACATAAAATATGTGCTCTAAATTTAAGGAAGTATCATATTACATAACTTATATCATTTGAAACATACAATTTTTGAGTCAATAAATCTACCTGACATTGACATCCCTTAAACCTAAAACTATTCAAACAATTAAAGAAAATCATCTTACCTGGAAGATGTAATTGTTAAAATTGTAATAAGTATACTTCTATATAATAATAGTCATATCCTTAAAATCAATATAATTTATCAAATTAAATATGAAACAACTAACCTAACTACATTAGATTAATACCTGTAAACAAAATTACTGGTTGTCCTATATCTAGTACAATGACCTAGAATTTAACCTTTATGATTTGCTGACTCATCCTCATGTGAAGCTTAGAGAAAACCAGAATGATGACAGTATTCAAGGGATTTTTGTTATTTTCCTGGCAAATCTCTCTGATATTATTCATCAAGGTCAATCGCTAATTCATTATCAGATTCTTTTTCACATATTTGACAACAACAAAAAGTAATCTGACATAAAACAGTGATTTTTTTCTTGAAGACTTCACATTTTGCCTTTTTGGGGCAAAATAATAGTCTATAAGAGGGGAAAAAATTATATCATACTTTTTCAGGTGAGGAATGGGGCCAATACAATTTTGGCCCAAATTGGCCTTAGAAAATCGCTGATCGAAAAAGTTCAATTTTACCTCATCAGGTATATACCGGTAGGTATGTAAAAGTAGAAAAATAATATTATTATAAATTTATTCAATTTTGCTATCCTTTATCTTTATAAAACCATTATCCCGTATTTTTTTTAATGGTAAAGACCATGTATGTCTATAAAATTTTAATAATATTACTAAATTCTAAAATAAATCCACAAGAAACCTTCATAAGACCGGAGTCTGTTATTTATCAAAGGGTTCATTCTTCCATTAAATGGAGTATTATACTTAATGAACACTCATTCTAAATTTTATGACCAATAAGAACAGAAGCTATACTTTACTTGGTAAACATTATAGTTTTTCGTTACTTTTTCTTATCAAAATGTTAAAGTGAATTTGTGGCAGAACAAGCAGGTACAATGTCATAATCTTAAAGTGATATTGTAATGTTCATATCTGCACCTGAAATAAAAGTTTTTAAATATATGGGCTGTGTGATCTACTTTTTGACCCCAGATGACCCTTATTCAAAGTTGGGCTATAATATATCTACAAAACAACTTTACTGATCAATTTCCAGGATATTTGGACTGAAAATATTGTTGCCAAAAATTTCAGCCGTGTGACCTTGTTTATGACCAATTTCCAAGGCATCTGGACCAAAACAGTAAACCCAGGAGTGTTAACAAAATTTTTCAATATCTGGGCTATGTAACCTTGTTTTTGGCCCCAGGTGACACATATTCAAACTTGAGCAAGAAATCATCTAAACAGCCTTTTTGACAAATTTCCGGGAAATTTGGACTGAAAAAGTAGCCGCTAGAGTGTTAGGTTTTTCCATATTTGGGCTATGTGATCTACCTTTTGGCCCCAGGTGACCCATATTCAAACTGGAGCTAGAAATCATCTAAAAAACATTTCTGACCAATTTCCAGGATATTTGGACCAAAACAGTAACCACTAGAGTGTTAACAAAATTTTTCTAGTCTTTATTAATAAGCTCATGTAACCTAGTTTTTCATCCGTGTTCCAACATTTCCAAAAATATTACTTGGACAAACATCCTGACCAAGTTTGATGACAAATGAGGCAAAATAGTGACCACTAGAGTAATAATGAAATAAATGTGGAATGATGACAGATCAGGTCAGGTGAGCTAAAATACTAGCAAAATTCAATAATTTTACCTTCAAGGTCAAGGGAATTGAAGTGTTAAGGTCATGTTCAATTAAGTCTTTAATAAAGGTCTTGTCCTAATGATTATTGTATCCAAGTATGAAGAATTTCTGTCCTATATAACAAAGTTATAGCCAATTATCGCAAAAATCAAGCAAAATACAAATATTTGTCCTTGAAGGTCAAGGTTATATATGATTGAAGATCAAGTTCAGGCTGCTCAATTTAAATCCAAAGGTTTGTTGTGTCCAAGTATGGAGGTAATCCAATGAAAAAATAACAATATTTTATGACCAATGTTAAAAGTTTTAAGAGGGCATCTGCAACATGACATGTCAATGACAACATTATATTAGCAATAGTTTTTTTTCTTCAATTAAAGTTGAGCTAGAAATGTATTATAATAATTCTTCAATTATAGTAATGGCATAAAAAAATATATATATTATTCTAACACGACCCGCATTTTTCCCTATTGAACATAGAAGAACCGAAAGTGTGTGTTATTATGCTATAAAATCACTGTTTGACGTATTATATTTAGACATGTGACGTAATCATTATACACGTGACGTAACCACTAAAAATGTGACGCGCTGACAATAAGTAAGGAAACAAATCAGACGCGATTAAGCTAATTATAATGTACGGCAGCATTAATTTGTTGATGTCGTATTAGAATCGAAATAATATATCCAAATAGGTGATTTTATTGCTTGATAACATCACTGTTTGTCGTTCGGATGCGCATCATTATATCACTCGGGCTACGCCCTCGTGATATAATTCCCCGCATCCGAACTCCAAACAGTGATGTTATTGAGCAATAAAATCACAGTTTGGGATATATTATTTCTTAATTTACCCATATGAGGAAACATCTAATTTGACCTTTATGTAATGTCTTAGTAAGACTTAAAAATTGTTTCATCATTCTTTCAACATATGCTTTAAGACGAATTTATTTACCAGTGATAAAATCTTAAAATATGACATTGTCATTACTTATAAAATATCAATACCAATAATATTAACTTTGTTGGATTGGAAAAATACATTAAGCCAGATGAAATCTTAAGTAGTTAGACAAATACTTCCTGTCTGTAAATCTGCCAACAAAATTATGAGCAATATCAATAACAAATAAAATCATACATATGATTTACAAAACTGGTATTTTTTCTTTTTATATTTTCCCAATTTCTGTGATGCATCATCTTTACGTAAGTAACATTGAGTTTGCAATAATGTCCTTATTTCCAAATCAAGTTGAACTGAACTTTTACTATCAAACAACTTCTTTACAAAGGTGTGGCAATCATCTGTGTCATGCTGGGTTCCCTAAACCCGAATATTCTAAGAAAATGTTTAATATGCTAATAAAGGAAGAACAGATTTGCACATGCATCATTGGGTATTATCATACATTAAACAATTTTATCATTATCATGATAACAATATATAAAGCTGATAAATGGTACAGGTGATGAATATAATTATTGTTTAAACTAACTAAGTTTTGATTATTTGTATACAAAAAAAAAATAATTAAAATGTATGAGCTTTAATTCTACACTTATGAACTCTGTTTAAAAAATAATACCATATAGATATGATACATACACAAATGTTAACAATATCAAAATTTTGATAAAGATTGTACATTATATACAAATTTATATAACTTGTAAAAAAGAAAGTGTATAACTTTACATTAATACATGTGTTAAATGATACAGCAGTTTTAGATGTGTAGTGTACAATATATAATAATTTCCTTGGAAAGAGGGTTTAAAGAAAACAATTATATATATTGAATATCATCTACTACTTTTTTATGGCATTATTCCCAGTTATCAAAAAGAAATTTAAAAAATTATAAAATGAACTTTAACAAAATATGATTAAAATGTTCTGTCACTTACCCTGACATGTTACTGTACTAGTCATTATCATATCCAAAAATAGAATGACATCTATGATCTATGTGATTTGATCATGTCCAAAATTAAAAGTGAACGTTATATCACTCCTTTTTCATAGAAAATTATCTTAAATTTTACATCAACTTGTTAGTAACCAGGAACTCTAACAATTTCAAATAAAAAATATATCTATGTACCCATAGTAGGAAGTATACTTCTTTGTTTATTTTTTTGGCAATTTACCAAAACAGCTGATCGCATAAGTTTTAACCAAACAAAGAAACTCAGTGAGTGTGTTTTACAGTGAAGTCAGTAATATTTAAAAAAAAAATATAATCAAACATTTGATAAATTTATGGATTAAACTTTAACCCGAAGTCAGAGAAATTAAAGAACACGACATTTATCCAGGTTAATTTTTGGCATGGTTACCTAACATGTAATAGGTCATCAGGGACATACAAAAAAACAAGAAAAACCACAATGAACCTTCAAACTGGGTGTCACCACAAACATTCGTGATTACTCACGATTTGTATTCGATGACTTATCTTTATGTTGATAAGGGTAACAATCCCAGAATCACTCTATAAATCTAATGCTCATTGTAATGTTGCGCAACACTTCTGACACACCAGAATACGTTGTGCAAACGACACGAGAAAAATCATAAATGTAAAGCACTTACTTCGCTAATTCCTGTATCAATCGTCCAACAAAGCCTTCTTTGTCGGTATGCTGTCGAGTATCCACAATTTATAATGTCATAAACCCGTAAAATACAGGTAAAATAGTCAATGTTTACATTATAAGCAATCCAACATGGAGTTTTGTTTTGGTTCTGTGAGAAATTGCGGGAACAGCTGTCACATGAGTTGCTGACGTCACATAAGTCCTAGATTTAAACCAATCAATTTCTAGAATTTTCTGGACTCCCCCTTCTGACCTATTTCTATTTTGGGAGAGTTTCACAATAACAAATAACAAAATCCTCTTTAACGTTAATTAAAACATAGCAGACACAATATCAAATTAACAAAATGTAACCCTTCATTTCCTCTTTGTTCAAACTCCTCAAAAATAGTTGTATATAACAGTAAGACCTGTTTATTGGGAGGCCACGTTTGCAGTCATAAAGATAATGATGAAATCATTCTATTTTTAGCTGTAGGTCATGGTCGGTAATATTTTGTTTTGATCACGCATGCAATGTCTATAAATAGCCACTATAACCTAGATACAGTGAAAACAGCTGATCCACAACTTGTGCATAAACTGTCACCTATATCTATCAGTCTTACTGCACAGTGTTAACATATCTAGATCAATTGGACAAAGACATTTATGTTGATATTATCATTCACATATCACATCTTGGTGTAATGATAATTATATAGAATCTATCAGTATCTGAGACAGGCAATTTTAAGTATCAACTTATACCAAGAGAATATTAACCTTTTAACCTTATATTCATCTAGCATATATACATAGTTTGTCCTATTTTCCAAAAGAATTTTATTACACCCCTCCCACCCACCCCCGTAGTGTAATAAATTTTCAATCATCTAGATTATTAAAGTTCTTCCTGTGTAAAGCTGACTGTCCTTTAAATGCATTCAATGAAAATATGCAGACTGAATAAGAGAGTCTACACTGTCCAAGGTTCACCGAAAAACTTTCATTATACATCTTAACATTTCATCATGTCTTAATTCAGACAGTTTTACTTGATCCATTCAATTCTAATCAGATGAGGAGACTTTACAGAAAGCTTATAAACTTATAAAGACGAAGAAAACATTGTAACTAACTTCAAGTCTTGATTCTGTATTTGTTACATACATACTGTCGCACAAAAAGATGTTAAAACTACAAAAATGGTTGCATCTGTTCCTTTATACGGTGTAACTTAAAATATTCATTATTCAGACTCAAGGGCCTCCTATACATGTAACTCGCCTTGTAAGAACCCATTTTGTCCATTGAATAACATCTACCTATACAACCAAGTTGATGGACCACTAGGCAAAATTCAAAACCAATACATGTAATTCATGTCTCTTTTCAGGCTTGTCCACAATAATACTGGCAGATGATATTAAGTCAAGATGAAATGAACAAGACAAGCAGTAATAAGGTATTTCCTACTTGTCTTTACGACACTTGATCATTGCTAACTAAACCTAGATGCCCCTCTATTCACCTAGATCTATGGTCTGCTAGCAAGTTTGCAGAGTTTGAACCTTCAGTGTATAGAACACAAAGGTTTTTAATTTTATAGCCAAAGTACATAGTGATATTACCAAGGCCAAGGTATATAACAAAGTACTGTGAAAGAAAATGATTAAAGATTAAATGATTTTATTTTTGACAGATATTCCTAAAAGTAGTGAATTCAGAATGCTATTCAAAACATTTATTCATTACTATTCTCATTGGATTTATTGCCTTTAAGCATTTATAATGGCTTATGTAAATGGACTATAGTTTTGGGGTACCAGTGGTGTAGTTTGAGCACAAAACTCCTAATCTGGAGGTAATGGGTACAAACCCCACAAGGATAAGGATACTTGTCAAGTTTCCACAATCTATACATGTTCTATAACTGGTTCAGACACATCTAGTGAAAATATTGGGCAAGGTTTAAATTGGTTTTTATAATTGAAAACAAACAATTTTTTTTTCAGACATTTAAGTAATATATTTTTACAAATATATACATGAAAAACACTGTACAAATTTTGAAATACATTAACAATATCATTTTAACGTGTTTTTGCATATCCTAATGCTAACATCAGAAAATGATGAACAAATTTAGACTTCAACCTAAATGGGTGTCTATCTATCTGCATTTTCTTATTTTTTCAATGCAGTCATGCTCAGCGTGATGTAATAAGTTATAAATACATTGATTTATACATGGTTACACCCTACTGTTACTCTTGCATGATTTCTACACTCTTACAATCTTTATAATCTATTCTCTATATTATAGCAGAATCAAATATAAAATCTTGTCTTGTTCACAAATTGAGAAGTTTGTAATTGTCTTTTACAGTAGTTTATATATAAAATGAACACAGAAATAAATTAACGGTCAATTTTTTTTTTGGCCTCGGGCTATTCATCATGATAGGTATACTAGTATCTAAACAAAATCGACTTTTGAAAAATGACCATCACATTGGTAATACATGTACAAATGTATTTACAACTTGAATAAAATGTCAATAAACAAATATCTCTCATTTTTAAATAAATTCTCAAGTAGTTTCGTTTTTCTATAAATATAAAAATGTCAATACTATGTCACTTGCTGAATGTTAACAAGTCTGACTAGCATATCAATAAATTAACATAATTTAGCCTGACCTAGTATGCCCAGTACAATATGGTTTCATCTATTGTACAAAATTACAATATTTTTAATGATAAATACTCCCACACGTGTTAAACTTGTGAAAGTTTAGGTTCATAATGGCAAATCATATCAAACTATTTAATCATGGGACATATATACATGTATGTGTCCAGTTTATTTTGATTGCCCCTTTTCCTCATTCATATGTTTTACTGCAACATTTCTAAGTCACTGCTGCACCTCTTTAAATCCATTGTCACTAAAGAATTCTTTTAAACCTAATTTTATACAAACAGTGAAAATGAACACAATTATATAAGAGCATCAGCTTGATGTCCATTAAATGGTCCATTAAAATCATCGCTTTGAGCGTTTTGATTTCTTTGCATGTCTTGCTCTTGTTTCTCGTGTTACGTACTGAGCTGGTTCCTCTTCCAGTGAGGAACTGTTTCTGGTTCCCCTCTTTCCTCTGACTGGGGTTGCAACCTCAGGAGAGGAAGAAGGTGATGCTGGTTCCCTTACGCGATGACGTCTTGATCTACGAGGGGATGCTGGTGGAGAAGCAGGGGCCAATCTCTCTCTGGGATCTGGGGGAGAGGGTGTTAATGAATCAATAGGTGAAGCTGGGCCTCGAGGGGATAATGGGGAAACTGGACCTAGTGGCCCAGGACTAACAGGGGAATTTGACCTGTCTCTGAGATCTGGCGGGGATGGTGTGAGTTCACCTGAAGATGGCGGTGAAGGTGTTCCAGTGACAGGTGCTCTTGTACGACGTAAAACGGGTGGGGTGTTTCTTTGTACAGGGGGTGGGGTTACTGATAACCTTCTGGAGGGATGAGGGGGAGGGGAGACTGAAATACGTCTGGACGGATGATGTGGGGGAGAAGGAGATATAGCCTCGTATGATCCACTACGAGCACTACGTGTACGTCTCCGCAACACTGGTGGTGGTGAAGGTGACAGGGACTCTAACCTATGTCTAGGTCTCAATGGAGGTGATGGTGTACGTCGTCTGTACATGGGGGGAGGAGAAGGAGATGTGTCTTCCCGATATAGTGTTCCTCTTTCAGTAATACCAGTCGGTATAGGTGGAGACATAGATCCCTCACGATACACTGCTGTCGGTGGTGTGTACACTGGACGTCGCTCAGGTGGGGGTGTCGGACTTTTATCTTCTCTATAAAGTGTACCACGCTCTGTAATACCAGTCTTTCCAGGTCCCTCGTGTAAATCGTCAGGTGGGTAATAATCATCATCATAATACCTGAAGTCATAAAGTGCTATGATATATATGATAAAAACATAACCTTATAGACAAAGAATCAAAGATACTTAGATAATTCAATAAAGATCGAAAGGTATTTTTACAAGATCTCTATGATTCTATAAAAGGCTATTTTCTGCTCATAGCCTGTTTGTCATCAAAACTAACTGATATTTATAGGATCCTTGTTACTGCCTGTAAATTAGTAGACATTTAATAATCTTTTGCCTCTGGTTTGTTTTAATACTATCAAGATCAAATTTTAGGAGTATCTTGATCTATTACAATTACATATATTTGGTTTCTGTGCTTTTATGACATCCTAGTCTATCAAAACCTAGCCAAGTCAAATACAATGTCCAGATCAATTTACTCCTAAAATAACTCTATTATATCTGCTTATTTAATATAAAACTTGGTTTTATCAACACTAAATGGCCTATGTATCGCCAATGGTAGATATCATTTCAGAAATTTATTGTGCATCATACAACTATTTTTGCCATTTGACACTTTCCTAAGCTGTAAAATTTCCTTTGATGCATAAAATGAATGGAATATTTAATGTTACATAACCTTGTTCGAGAAAAAATATAAATGATTGTCAAGTCATTAAAATTCAACGACCATCATTTGACCTCTTTATAAGGTTTAGTAAAGATTAAAAGGTTATTTACGGCTGTCTAGGTCTTAATGGATCTTCCCAGGCAGGTCCCTGTGGCATGTATACTGGTCTGCCAGGGGGGTAATATGCCTTCCCTGGAGAACCAACAGGTGGTCTCAATGGAGATCCATCTGGTCCTATGTGTCGTGGTGATGGGTACCGACCTCTTACCATCCCTCGTGGTCCACCAATCATCATAGGAGGCATTCCACGAATAGGATATGGACTAAAATAGTTTCAAATATATTTTTACATAAATTAACTCATAACAAAAACAGTATGATTTAATTAATCAATTTCAATTTTAACTTAATTAAAAAGTTTTATTTCTAAAATCCAAACAAGTTCTCACTATAAAATTATAAACCCATAGAATTATAGTAACAATTTGATAATAATCCTAAAATTTATGCAAATTTCCAGAGATAAAATGTTTGCCACTCTATCAAAATTCTGTAAATTACTACTTTACAAAGAAATGCTTCTATATTTAAAAATTAGATTCAAAGTGAACAAATATTGCATGATCTACATATTGAAAACTTAATCTACAATAAAGCATTCTAAATACTGCCATAAAAATACACAAGAAAAAACAGCAGCTACAAGTATAGTATTCCTTAATGAGAAAAAGCAAAAATGTTTTTACCCTGGACCTATTGGTCCTCTTGGACCCATTGGCATCATAGGTGGTCTTGGACCCATCGGGACAGGGCCTCTCATTCCAAAAGGCGTCATGACTTGTTGCCTTGCTCTCTTTGCTGCTTCACCAAAATTTACCTCATCCAAGGGCCTTGCCTTACGTCTTCTTTCCTCTGAATCATCAGAGTATGCTGAACGCTTTGAAGAAATAGATGATATTGATCTTGACCTTGATCTAGAAACTGACCTTGAACCTGAACTTGACCTACTTCTTGATCTAGATCTGCTGTATGATCTACTAGATCTTGACCTTGATCTTGATTCACTGCTTATGGATGACAGTGACCTTGATCGACTCCCTCTTGACTTTGAGCGCTTTCTGGAATATGAGGACCTACTAGAATATGATCCTGATCTTTTGGATTTGGATGACCCTGATCTTGACCTTTTACTTTTCTTTGATGACCTTGATCTTGATCTGGAGTGCCTCTTCCTTTTTCTGCTATCTTTTGAGCTAGCTTTAGATGATGTTTCTGAGTCTGAAGCATCTGGAGATTCAGGAGCTAAAGGAATTTCATTGTCTTTTTCCCCACCAAATGACTCTGTTGGTGGAGGTGGAAGTGGAGGGAGAGGTGGAAGTGAAGGTGGCTCTGGCACAGAGGGTGGGGGTGGAGGCCCACTGGGTAAAGGTGGAGGTGATGGAGCAGATTTTCTTGAAAATGAGTGTCTTGGTTTATATAGGTCATCTGTATTATAACAACTCTTTCTTGTTCTCGATTCCGTCTTCTCACTCTTGCTGTCCCTGTTTCTAAGAAAAAAGATAAAAAACATTTCTTCATTTAAATTTTTGATACAATTTTCATGATGAATTTCGTATTATTATTCACTCAAATATTCATGCATTTGTCCTTTCATTAAATTACCTTAAGTAAATATACAAATTACAGTTGAAACATTTAAACTACATACTCAATTATCATCATGATAACAAGAGGGCCATGATGGCCCTGAGGTCGCTCACCTGTATATAGCCCCCCCCCCCCCCCCAATTTTTACCCAAGGGCTTTTATTTGTTTATTTGAACAGCCTTGGTAGACACCCATAAGAAGATGTTTCATGCTAAACATCTAAGTTCGAGCTCATTGGGTTTTTTAAAAGAAGATTTCTTAAGTTTTTACTATACACATATAGTTAAAAACAATGACACCCCTGGGGCAAGGCCAGTTTTGACCCCCGGGCTTTTATTTGAACAAACTTTGTAGATATTTACTAAAAGATGTTTCATGCTTAATATCTAAACTCTAGCTATTTGGGTTTTTTTCAAAGAAGATTTTTAAGTTTTTGCTATACACAAAAAAGGAAAATCAATGACCCCGGGGGCAGGGCCAGTTTTGACCCCCGGGCTTTTATTTGAACAAACTTTGTAGACACTGATTAGAAGATGTTTCATGCTTAATATCTAAACTCTAGCTATATGGGTTTTTTCAAAGAAGATTTTAAAGTTTTTGCCATACACATATAAGGAAAATCAATGACCCCCGGGGCGTGGCCAATTTTGACCCAAGGGCTTTTATTTGAACAAATTTGGTAGACACCCATTAGAACATGTTTCATGCTAAATATCTTAGCTCTAGCTCTTTGGGTTCTTTAAAAGAAGATTTTTTAAGTTTTTACTATATGCATATAGGGAAAATCAATGACCCCCTGGGGCGGGACCAATTTTGACCCCAGGGCTTTTATTTGAACAAACTTGGTAGACACTCACTAGAAGATGTTTCATACCAAATATCTTAGCTCTAGCTCTTTGGGTTCTTTAAAAGAAGATTTTTTAAGTTTTTACTATATGCATATAGGGAAAATCAATGACCCCCTGGGGTGGGGCCAATTTTGACCCCAGGGCTTTTATTTGAACAAACTTGGTAGACACTCACTAGAAGATGTTTCATGCCAAATATCTTAGCTCTAGCTCTTTGGGTTCTTTAAAAGAAGATTTTTTAAGTTTTTACTATATGCATATAGGGAAAATCAATGACCCCCTGGGGCGGGGCCAATTTTGACCCCAGGGCTTTTATTTGAACAAACTTGGTAGACACTCACTAGAAGATGTTTCATGCCAAATATCTAAGCTCTAGCTCTTAGGGTTGTTTAAAAGAAGATATTTAAAGATTTTTCTTTCGGTTGCCATGGCAACCAGAGTTCTGCATGGAATTAAATTCTTTGAACAATTTTTAAAGGTGACCACCAAAGGAACATTCCTGTGAAGTTTGGATGAAATTGGCTCATTGGTTTATGAGGAGATGTCATTTAAAGCAAAAGTTTACGGACGGACGCCGGACGGACGGACGGACGCCGGACGAAAAGCGATCACAAAAGCTCACCCTGTCACTTTGTGACAGGTGAGCTAAAAAAAATGCTGCACCAAGTTTAAAATAGCTCAAATCTATTTCTCAGATCTTGCATAAAAAAGTTTTAAAAACTTTGCAAAAAATTCTAACCTGAGTTGTCTCCCCTCTGTATGACTGGTTTGCTTTTTTGTGACTGGTTCTCCGGTGCTAGACTGGCTTGATGTTCTTTTCCTTTTCTTTCTCCCATCTGCTTGCTTAGACTGTATCTCTGCTTTGTAATCAGAATGATCGCTTGAGTTACTCTTGATATCATCATTGAGTTTACTTCGTGACCTAGTAGTTGCCCCTGTTTCAATGGCAGTGTCTGCCATAGTTACCTCAACAATCTCTGTGGTTGTAGTATCTTCTATAACCGTTTCTTCTGTAAAATTATTAAATAGGTATATATGTAGATTTTAAGTCATTTAAACAAAAAGTTAAAACTGTCAATCAGACAGCCTACTAAACTATTTCAGTGCATAATATCAAAATACAAAATGTAGAATCAAGTATATAGGAACTTGCTGTCTTTCACCATTTTAAAAGAAACTGACAGAAAACAAGAGCACCGCATGTTGTGTAAATGCTCCCCTGATAAGGGCAACAATAACCAATTACCAATTTTGAAAAATACATTGTAAGTCAAAAAGGGGCATAACTCAAAAAATATATTTTTCAGAATTATGCCCTTTCTCTAACAACTGCACCTTTTCATGATAAGTGTCAGAGTGTTCCAAGTTTCAAAAAGTTTGAATAATGGTTAAATTAAAGTTTTTTTTGAACTATGGTGAATATTTTGACTAGATGTGAAGAGAAAACCTTAACCAGGCAGTTCACAAACGGGTATTATTTTGTCAAAATATATCCTAGAGTTATTGGTATTGAATAGAAGCCTACAATTATAACCCCAAAGACATGCCTGTGAAGTTCAAAGGTATCTTAAATGTTGCTTAATAAGATGGGAAACACTGGGAAACACACAAACCCTTATCTGATAGTCCGCTGTTGGCATCAGATTCTATCCATTTTAAAGTCTTCCCTAAAATGATGAATAATTTTACCCAGATTGAAGGACAAACAAGTCCATCTAATACTTGTGTGTAAAAGGTTTAACCAAGTTTTACATTGTAATAAATACAGTCAACTATCGTTATCTCGACATCGCTTTTCTTGATATTCCGTTATCTCGATGAAATTATGAAAGTCCCGATTTTCTTCCTTCTTTATCTATATTGAAAATATTTGTTTTTCTCGATATTTTTATTTCGATATTTTCAGTATCTCGATGTACAATATCAGCCCCAACAGTTATTTTCATACTATAATCCTTTGTTTATCTCGACTAAAGTTTTCTTTCGTTTGTTCCCTTCAGACGTGTAAAAAACACAAACTAGACAATAATTGCTCAATAGCGCGTGTCATAATGATGATTATGTTTGTAACATGTTTAGCTATTTTTATAAAGGTTTATCTAGATTTAGCGTGTTGATTGACTTATGTCCAAAACAAGTGAATTTTATGTTCTTTATAAAATTCGAACACTGTATCGATTCATTATGACTTTTAATGTAAATGAAATACTGAAAGTATATAAACGCTATCATTGCAATATTGTTTCACAACATCTCAACCAAATCAATCAGCGGATGAACAACATCAAGAAAGACCCGATAAATAACCCGGGAGGATATCCGGATCAACCATACTGAAAACAGTGTTTTCACTATATTGGTGTATTACTGAGTAAACCTCACGATGTGTTTTAATCACAGAAACCAGTATTTCCGCTGGTAAACATCCGCTAATGTTACTTTTGTTAAATATTGACTAGGCCTATGAAAACAAGACATGGGGATATCATAGTTTATTTGACATAAGGTATGCACATGTCTTTTGTAAAAATCAGTTTCTGCCTTATTCAAACCCTAATATGTTTATCTCGACATTTCGTTATCTTGATATTTTTTGGACGGTCCCGATGACATCGAGATAACGAGAGCCGACTGTATGATAGTCAATAACTGAGCGCAATATTTAGTTGCTTAGCTACTTTAATTCATATTACTTCCCATAATAAACTGTAAAGGGAGACATAAAACTAAAGTTGCAGGCTAAATACTAAACTGTCAATGCAGACTTATTACTAAATAGTAAATGGAGAATAAATACTCAACGATTGACAGCTTAGTATTAAGTATGCATTTATTTGTTGAGTATTAAGTCTCAATTTACTGTTCAGTATTTAGTAATTGAGTTAATGCAGCTTTATACTCAACATTAAATGCAGACTTAATACTCTACAGTAAACAGAAACTAAATTCTCAACAGTAAATGCAGACTCAATACAAAACAACAATAAACACAGACTTTATATTCAACAGGAATTGCAAACTTCATATTCAATTTAAATGTAGACTCAATACTAAACAGTAAATAAATGCAGACTTAATAACAGACTCAATACTCAACAACAAGAAACACTGACTTACTACTCAACAATCCATGCAGATTCAATACAAAACCATAAATGCCAACTTAATACTCAACAGTGAATGCAGAATTAAATATCCACAGTAAATGCAAACATAAACTGTAAATGCAGACTTAAAACACAACTATTTAGTAAAAATCTAACCTTCCAGTGGAATATCAGGGTCACCTTCTGCTGTGTCAGTAACAACATAAGTCTCTCCTTCAGCAACAAGAACTTCCCCACCATCCTCTGGAATGTCTAGCTCAGAGAACTCTACTGTTTCCAAGGTAACAGACTGACCTTCACCTTCATCAGGAAGAGGTATCTCCACAAGTTCAACCTAAAATATATATATATCATAATTTTATTATGTATATGATAGATTTAATCATGCATATCATGGTCCAGTTAAATCAGTCATATTGTAACTTTCCAGTTTTAAAGGATGAGGAAGACACTAACTGCCTCACTGTACAACATTTATGGCAGGATAAGGAACCTTCTAGATGGAATCACAAACCATTTTAAGTTAGGAGGACAGTTCTCTCTGACAAAGAGGTTGCACAGGCAGACAGGTTAACAAAAGGACATTTCGGCATGATATTATTAAGTATTTATTTTTGTGCAAACATTTTTACCCAATTTTATGATCAGATATATTATGACTATATACTGGTGCTACAAATATATCACTGTAAATACCAAATCCCTAAGCTTTGCCCTTTAACGACCACACTAATTACCCCTTCTCACAATATATCCATGTCTAAATTATAAACACATACCTGACTACCATCAAATTCAAAAGTTTGTTGTTCCGAGTCGATCTCCACCATTTCAACAGTTTCTTCTATCACCAATGTTTCATCATAACTCTGACTAAGGTGAGTGTTGGGTAAACCCTTATACACAAACTCATCTGACATATATCTAAAACATAAAAGTTTCATTCTTTACTTTATATTGTGTACAGGGAAAACCTAATACATAATGTGAATATTGATATATCATTCTATATCAGTAAATTCAATGAAATTTTACCAAGCTAAAGTTGTGATAATGACTTGAATATTACAACTTAAAGGGTATTTCAGGATAATACCAAAATTGAGTCAACAACATTCTAGTATCAAGTCGGGTTGCAACAAGGTGCAGACTATAGTCATGTATTCTAATGCTATCCCCATAAAGGTTTATTTGGAAGTCTCTCTTAAGTTAAATCAGTGACCTTTGATCTGCTTAATAACTGTAACTGAGCAGAAAGACAGAAAGATAATGCCTTAGGTAAATAACTTATGTTGTACTTTAAGGAGATTTTGAAAATTTTCTGTCAGACAAAGCATGGAATTATATTCACTTTATCCCAGCTGGTAGAAAATCCCACCATATCTGCAAGATTTAATTAAATTTCTCTATCATTTGACCTTTTTAGGCCTGTGTTTTATTTGATGTCAACAAACAAGAGGCATGCAAGCAGAAGCCATGCTTGACTTTTTCCTATTTTCAAAAACATCACAAGAATGTCTTGGTGAAGGGTTGCAAGTAGAGCTGTCATCGATAGAGACAATATCAATGTATCGTTGATATTTTTCTGTCAATCAATAACTGATGCACATTTAAAAAAAAAATAAAAAAATTTGACTAATTTATTAAATGTCATGTTCACCCAAAACATATATAGAAGCAGTAATCTATGTCTAATAATATGCTGTTGTTATATAGTGGAAATATTTCACAGCAATGATAACAAAAAAATATGGTGTGGAAAAAAAATCATGCAATGGGCTTTTATGAACAAGACACTGAACAGAACATGTTTTTAACATTAAGCATTTAAACAGGTCATCCAATATAGATATATTGTTGATATGCTTTACACTGTATCAATAACAGCTCTAGTTGAAAGCACAACCTCAGTACTTAGTTTGAATTTAATAACATTTGAGCCGCGTCATGACAAAACCAACATAATGGGTTTGCGACCAGCATGGATCCAGACCAGCCTGCGCATCCGCGCAGTCTGATCAGGATCCATGCTGTTCGCTATCAGTTTCTCTACTTGTAATAGAGTTGGTAAGCCAACAGCATGGATCCTGATCAGACTGCGCGGATGCGCAGGCTGGTCTGGATCCATGCTGGTCGCAAACGCACTATGTTGGTTTTGTCGTGACACGGCTCATTTTATATCTGACCTTGACAGCCAAGGTCATAATCGAGATAAAGGAGTCAAATTTAAACCTGAACGTTGTCAGGTGTTTTAGTGGTAGTAGTATTATCTCATTGTAATTAGTTGTCATTGATTTATGTTAACACTTCCTGTTCCTGGAGGCATTTATTAACTTCTAGATTTGCTTTTCAAATTTAATATACACCTGGTACATCATAAACATTTAATGTAATGTTATCGTGGTTAACCATACAATAATAAACAGTAAAACAGGATGCAAATAGTAATGTTACAGTTTTATTCCTTATATCAATGTTGTCATATTAAAATATTCAAGGTTAAATAAAATAGAAATAGATTATCAATAAAGGGCTAATGCAGCTGTTTTTGTTTGCAGATGCATGAAGATGTATTTAAAGCCTCAGCCTGCTTGCAGAGCGAAGGATTTAAAGAAAATCAGAGGGCTTCAACAGATGTTAATGCATGAAAAAAAATGTGCATTTAGACTATTCTTGCATAAAATATACATCAGATTCATTAATGTCACTTTTCATTTTTGTTTTTCATTTAAATTAACCAGTTTTGTCATAATTTACACATACACATAGAAGTTAATGAAACTACTGCCTTGGGGTCATCAATGGCATCAGCTATGAGTCAGGCATATTAAAAATATGCAACAATGACACCTGCTCTCTTTATATTATCTGTTACTGACAAAGTTCAAAGTGAAAAATTGAACAAAGGGCAAAAACTCCAAAATTAGTCAAGGCAGAGTTATGGTTCTTTTACACTGTACATCTACCCCTTAAGATCTATCTACCTACAAAGTGTCTAGTTCATATCTCTGACACTTTCATGATCCTTTTAAACTGTACTTCTATTAAATGAGATCTATCTACCTACAAAGTTTCTTGTTGATATCTCTTATGGTGCCAGAGCTATGTCCCGGACAAAGTTTAAAGTGAAAAAATGAACAGTCAGAGCTTTGTCTTGGATAATGTTCAAAGTGTAAAAATGTACAAAGGACAACAACTCCAAAATTTGGCAAGGCAGAGTTACGGTTCTTTTTCACTGCACTTCTTTTTAATGAGATCTATCTACCTACAAAGTTTCTTGCTGATAACTCTTCTGGTTTCAGAGCTATGTCCCGGACAAAGTTCAAAGTGAAAAAATGAACAAAGGGCAATAACTCCAAAATTAAGGAAGGCAGAGTTATGGTTCTTATGCATTGCACTTTTACCCAATGAGAACTATCTACCTACCATGTTTCATGTTTATATCTCTTATAGTAGTAGAGTAATGTCCTGGACAAAGTTCAAAGTGTAAAAATGAACCAAGGGCAATAACTCCAAAATTAGGGTTAGTTATGGTTCTTTGTCACTACACTCCGCCTTAATGCCCTCTACAACTGTGTGCACTTTAAACAAATTATGTCTAAGGGTTTTCAAGTAAGCTCCAGACAAAACGAATGGACAGATGGACAGACGGTCAAGGCAGTGACTAAATGCTCTCCCATCAGGGAGCATAAAAAGTCTTTCTATTGCAAAGGTGACCTTAACCTAGCAACTTACAACACTGGACCATCCAAGGTATGTTCTTTCCAAATATGAAACTTTAGAAAGGCATCAGTCAATAAATAAAGGCTGTATAAGCTTAAGTGTAGAAATCTTTATTTGTCGACCATTATCTTGACCCACTGACCCCTAACTAAAATTCATGTTTGCCCTTTCTAAAGAAGAAAAAATTTATTTGTTTCTGAGGCAAAAGGTACCTTTGAATAAATTCTGAACTATTTGTATTACATTCTGTATATGTTACCTTTTATTTCTAATTCTTTGTCTTCTACTCTTTCTTTCCATCACTTTCTGTTCTTTCAGCTCAGCTTTCAATTCTGCCTTTGTTTTACGTTTCTGTTTCTTCTTTTCAGTAGAGCTGGGTATTTCTGCCATGCTGTTGTCAAGGGTTACGCTGGATTCTGTGGCAGTGGCAGATGACTCTGTATTGAGACTTGTGTCCACAGGTAGTGGGTCTGATACATTATGCTCTAAACTAGTATCTTTCTCTCCTGTCATAACTTCCACTGTACTCTCTTCTTTAACTGTATAAATTACAAGATGATTTGAGCCGCGTCACAACAAAAACGTTATGCGTTTGCGACAAGCATGGATCCAGAACAGCCTGCGCATCTGTGCAGTCTGATCAGGATGGTCTGGATCCATGCTGGTCGCAAACGCATTACGTTGGTTTTGTTGTGACGCAGCTCATTTGTTTACTTTTAGAGTTTTCCTTAGCAATGTTTCAGTTATATTGGTAATAGTGTCAGTATGAACTAAATTCACCTTGTCATGGATATAAAATAATAATGTTTGCTACCAAGCAAAATTTTACTTATGTGACATATCTCAATACTTTGTGTCACAATGCAATAGAATATGTATTACAGCTCACTATCAAAAATCTTCAGCTATGTTATGATGGTTCCAGGAATGCAAGGAATTTTCATTTCTTTCAACACTTATACACCACATAATTGAATAAGCACACTTTACATTACATCACATCATATTAAGCAGACCTGATTTTCTTTGCTATTTGATTTTCTAATTTCCACTGTATGTTTTTTTTGTTTTTTTTTAAATACAAAAGCAGCATTACCTTCTTCTTCATTAACTGTTTTGGTTGTTTCCGTAGTTTCATCAGTCTTGATTGTTTCAGTGTCCATAGCAACCACTGCCTCAGTTTCCATAACAACCATTGTTTCACCATCTTCTTTAACTGTTGAAACTGTTTCATTTTCCGTTCCTGAGACGTTTTCTGTTTTCACTATAAAATTTTTGAATATTACATATTTATTTTTTTCTTTTGGGTCAAATCTTTGACAATGGCAAATAGAATGTTTAGCCAACAATGTTAATAATATCACACATGTCTATGGTCTAAAATTTCGTCAGTAATTTGCTTCATGATTTCAAGACCATTTTTACAGGTTTGATATAGGACCCTTCTCTTAAAGTTGGAGGAAGATTACACAGTATTTTCACAAAATGGGAAGAAAAATAAACTCAATGTAAATTGAATTTAAGGGAAAAGTGCATTATTTTAAAGAATATTTCTGGGAGGATGCAGCCCTTAAACAGAATCTGTTAGAAAGAAATAGAGCAATATATACTGTTACAATAATATACATTTTCAATTTTCTACACTTTGGAAAGTTAAACAGATACATCAAAAAATAAATAAAACACTGCTATTGAGAGAATCCTTATGATTTTTTTTCTATCAATGTAAATCAACATTTCAGTGATCATTCTTAGATAACCGAAGCCTATAAAAATAACAGAGGCCTATAAAAGGCCTCTTCACAAGTGAAATTTTGTTTAAAATCATGCAGTTTTCCCAATAATCTGAACTAACACCAGCTTTTTTCTTCCCAAATTAGCAAATTTAGCAATAATTTTTTCTCCAAAATCAAGAGTCTAAGGCCTCTTTCTAATTAAGTGAGAAAAACCACTGCTCTTAAAACAAGAGTTTAACATTCTCATTTTAACATCAACAAGTACAGACTGAGTCTATTTACACACAAGGTGCCCTTTTATGTATTTTCTCGTAACTGCTTCAAAGCAGCACGCCTCCAGATTCTTGCTAATTTTCATGAAAATTTTGAAAATGTTTCTAAAAGTAAAATATTGTGAAGTGAACAAAGAAAGTAATTTACACATTGTAAACATAAATAACAAACAAGAAACATGGCAATGCCATGAAACCAGGTTTTCAATTATCACCATTGTAGATAAATATGTTATATTTGAAATACAAATACAAGCAACAAACAATGTAACTATGTGCAATGTAAAACATGAATAATGTAGGAGGAATTGCCACAGAGGAAGTGTTCACTATAATTATATTCTGTATAAGGAAACTAGAACTCCGCGAGTCGGATGTGTCGCCTTGTGAACAATGTAGTTTAGGAGAAATGGCCAGGACAAAAATGAAATATGAAAAATAACAAAGGGCAATAACTAAAAAAATAATAAGTGCAGAGCAGCAGTTTCTGTGCACTGCACTTCTTATCAATAAGATCTATCATTCTATGATGTTTCAAGTCCATAGCTTTCATACTTGAGGAGAAATGACAAGGACAAAATTAAAGTATGAAAATAAACAAAGGGCAGTAACTCAAAAAATAATAAATGCAGAGTACCTGTTCTTGTGCACTGCACTTCTTCTTAATGAGACCTATCATCCTATGAAGTTTCAAGTCCATGGCTTTTATACATTAGGAGAAATGGCCCGGACAAAAATAAAGTATGAAAATTAACAAAGGGCAATAACTCAAAAATTAGGAAGTGCACAGTACCTGTTCTTGTGCACTGCACTTCTTCTTAATGAGATCTATCATCCTATGAAGTTTCAAGTCCATAGCTTTTTTAGTTGAAGAGAAATGGCCCTTACAAAATTAAAGTATGATAAACAGGATTTTCAATGTTAATGTCACTGTGACCTTGACCTTGGAGCCAGCCATGCGGAACATGCGTTCTGCACGTCATCTTGATGTGGTAAACATTTGTCTGAAGTTTCATCAAAATTCTTCAAAGGGTTGAAGAGTTACAGAGCGGACAGGATTTTCAATGTTAATGTCACTGTGACCTTGACCTTGGAGCCAGCCATGCGGAACATGCGTTCTGCACGTCATCTTGATGTGGTAAACATTTGTCTGAAGTTTCATCAAAATTCTTCAAAGGGTTGAAGAGTTACAGAGCGGACAGGATTTTCAATATTAATGTCACTGTGACCTTGACCTTGGAGCCAGCCATGCGGAACATGCGTTCTGCACGTCATCTTGATGTGGTAAACATTTGTCTGAAGTTTCATCAAAATTCTTCAAAGGGTTGAAGAGTTACAGAGCGGACACAATTTCGTTTGACGCCCGCCCGCCCATCCGCCCATCCGCCCAGCCGCCCATCCGCCCATCCGCCCGCCATACCCCAATCTAATAACCAGGATTTTCAAAATTGAAAACCTGGTTAAAAAAGATGTAAAATTTGCAAATTATCCCTTACTGCGTTAGTAATGCAGTAGAATTATAGTGATTAATAATACAAAATCAGTCATAAATCGCACACATGTAAATATCGTTAATTGAATCGTGAATCTCTTTTCTTAAAATCTTAATACATTTTTTTCAAGTCAAGTCTGATTCTCTTGAAATGTTTTGGTTCATCTGGAGGATTGCAGCTTTAAAAAGGACACATTGATTATGACTACTCAAAATAAAAAGTTAAATTATTATGATCAACTGAAACTTTTTTATTGACTGAAATTATTTAAAACTGCAATAGGCCTAATAAGAACAGTCCAGTATACCTTTTATGTCAGTATCTCCTGATGTTTCTTCAGCAACCAATGTTTCTACTTCTTTACTCTCTGCTGATATTTCAGTGTTTTCTATATGCACCTCTTTACTAAGGTCTTCTTCTACTTTAGTAGTTGTTTCTTCAATTACAGCTTCCTCCATCTCTTTCACTTCTTGCTCTTTCAAAACTTCTTCCTTCACAGTTCCATCATTGTCTGTAGTAAGAACAAGATCTCCTGGTTTTTCTACCTCATCCTTAATCTTTTCAACCTGTTCCTTATCAACATCTTTACTTTCAGTTTTGACTTCTTCCACAACATTGTCTGTTTCTGCTTTCTCAATCTCTATTTTAACAATAGTATCTTCCTTGCCTTCAATCTCAACATTTGTTTCATCTACATGCTCTTTTTCTGCCTTTTCTTTATCAGCTTTTTCCTGTAGCTCTCTAGCTCTTTCAAGTTTCTCCAGTTTCTGACGAAGACGTTCTTCCTCTCGTTCTTTACGTTTTGCTTCAAGTTCAGCACGACGCTGAAGTCTTCTTTGATAACGGTCCTCTTTCTCTTTTGCCTGACAATACAAATACATGTACTTGGATTTAATCTTGGATTTCTAGTCAATGATTAAAACTTATCTAAAAAAAAAAAAAAATCAACACAGCTGTTACTTTCTTTTAAACAATCTCAACATTCTTTTGTATTACTTCTTTCACAAAAGTTTAAATAAATTTTAATTATAATTTGGGAAAAAAGAAGGTCATTATCACAAGAAATGTACAAAATATACTTTATGCTTATTAATAAAGTAAATGGCATGTCATTAGTTTAATTTCTATCATTTTGTAACTTTAGATATAAAGTATTGTAAGAAAAGTTAAGGAGGATTTTTCTGGTGAAGACAGGCAGGCTTTTTAACATCTTATAACCAGACATCCTGTTCCCATCTTCACAATTCAGTGTCTTGGAGCATTTCCTCAAGGGATAAGGGATACAGGAGTTGGCACCATCCCTCAGGGTGAAGGAACATTACCAATTTAATGAAAAATTATCCCTTAAACCATATATTACAACAATCTATTTTATATGAAGTTATTTTATTTTATTTCTTAACTGTTTTTTTGCATTGATATTACACAAAAAAATACTTTTTAAACAAAAGCTTGCTATTAATAACTCATTTAATTATAAGTACAAATATTTCATTTCCTTGGGCATTTTTTGCACAGTATGATTTTGTGAAACTTTATTTTTCTAAATTTAACAGAACTTACAATGTAATAAATCTCTAATTTAATGTCACTGGTAACTTTAAAACTGAAGAAATTTTTTTTTTCAAAGACTAACAAATCAGAACCATTTCATTGGATCATGGTCAGAAATTAACCAATAACAAATGCAGGTATCAAACAATCTCTTAACACAGTTCTCTTCATAAAATCAACAAAATAAAAAGTTACTTATTTGGGGCCACTTATTTTTAAGTGACATTTTTTTTTTTAAATTTGTAAATTTCAGTTCAAAACATCAATGTCCTTTTTTTGTTTTTAAGTTTTTATGTATATTTAAAATGCTAGAAAAAGACCTTGCAATTTCATAATATAAATAACGAGGGCAGAAATAAAGCCACACATATGAAGAGAAAAGTGTAATGAAATTATTTTAGCAAGTAACAACATGGGAAAACATGGAAAATAACAAATAAAACTTGGGATAACCGTTTGCTTTCCACGTTTCTTTTTTCTCCTTCGCTAAACATTGAACAAATTCATATTAATATTAAAAATCACATTTAAAAACAAAATTGATATCAATGAGTTTATAATAAAGTTAAATATTGTTTTTTTATTATTTGAAAGAATAACAAAATGAAATAACATAAAAAACTACATGTTAAAGTAGTATTGTTCTAGTTTGCAAACACTTATTCATATAATACTATATCACACACAAATATCACACTACCTCACATACCCATATCACACTACCTCACATACCCATATCACACTACCTCACATACCCATATCACACTACCTCACATACACATATCACACCACCTCACATACACATATAACACTACCTCACATACCCATATCACACTACCTCACATACTCATATCACACTACCTCACAAACCCATATCACACTACCTCACATACCCATATCACACTACCTCACATACCCATATCACACTACCTCACATACCCATATCACACTACCTCACATACCCATATCACATTACCTCACATACCCATATCCACACTACCTCACATACACATATCACACTACCTCACATACCCATATCACACTACCTCACATATCCATATCACAATATCTCACATACCCATATCACACTACCTCACATATCCATATCACACTACCTCACATACCCATATCACACTATCTCACATACCCATATCACACTACCTCACATACCCATATCACCACTACCTCACACCTATATAACACTACCTCACATACCTATATCACACTACCCTCACATACCCATTATCACACTACCTCACATACCCATATCCACACTACCTCACATACCCATATCACACTACCTCACATACCCATATCACACTACCTCACATACCCATATCACACTACCTCACATACCTATATCACACTACCTCACATTACCTGTATCACACTACCTCACATACCCATATCACACTACCTCACATACCCATATCATACCTTAGTTATACAACTTGGCGACAGGATATACAGGAGAAAATAGTCTGAATGACATAAACATGACCTGAGGTGCTAGCTAAGGGTTATTTTTACGTTAGAAACACCTAGGCTATATTCTCCTGTATATTCAAGCAACAACTTGAATAACAAGTTCATAATAATACAATTCTTTGTTGATGATAAGTTTATAAGAAACCTAGCACTTTAAGACTCTTTTTTAAAGAAGTGCGGGAAAAAGACACACATAAATAAGATGAGACTTGCCATTCAATGGCTTTATGAACACTGCGAGATAAAATTTACTTCAAGTATTAAGTCATCATAGTGGTGTAATTATTAACTTTTTTTGAAGTAAGATTATTTGAATCGAGAAATAACGTACAAAACGCAATAAAATTTTTAAGCACACACATAGTTATTGTGCGCATATCAGTTCTTAATGGTTTATACCGCATCGTAAACAAAGTGTTTAAGTTAATCAGAATTCGAGAAATTTCTTTGCATTATTACAAATTTTTATAATACTTCACAAACTCATATTATATTTCCTTACATACTATACTACCTATCCATGTTATGCTACAAATGTATTGCAGTCAATTTCTAAAAATCAAAATAGAAGCAAAAATATAAAGCATAAAACAGTGTGGTGTACGGATCATATTAAGAAACAAGCTTCAAACTAATGAATGTGAATGAACATGATTCGGCATATAAGGACGAGAAGACTTACAATTCGAGCTTTTCTTTCTTCTCGCGTCTCTTCATCTTCACTATCGCTGTAGTTATACTGTAACGACAGTAGTTTACGTGGCTTTTCTGCTACCTCTTTCTTCAATGCACCCTCATCAATCACTTGGCTCTCTATTAATAGTAACAGATAATATTTTTTTTAACTGGTCAATAAGATCAATGTCAGAAATTGTGTTGCTGGAGTGTGTATATGTTTAAATTTTGGGAAACATGTCAGATTTGAAATGACCGTCTTTTTTTATTGCATTAGATTGAGTACACTACAAGTTATGATAGTTTGACTAAGACTCCTAATACAATTGCATTATTTCAACATTTAAGAAAGAACTAAACAAGAGCTGCTCAATTGACAGTGCGCTCAATTATTTTAAGTACTTGCCTGGAAGTAGGGATGATGGTGACTAACAAGTATACCAAGTTTTAAAGCAATACCTCAAAGGATATGGGAAATAAGTAGGGTGGTATGGTAAAAATAACCAAAATTCTAAGTTGAAAAAGGGGCACCAGAGTGAATATGAAAGTTCTCCGTATAATATAAATATAATAGTTGAGTTAAAGTAAATGTCTCACCAGTAGGTGTTAACATTTGAGATTTGATGAGTGCAGGTTCTGTAAGAGCAATTTCTGATGGTGTTTCAGCAGTCCCTGTATCCATCATTTCTACTTGGGCTTCCACTGACTCCTTAACAGCTTCTGAACCATGTTCTGAAAACATACATGTAGTGAAGAATGAAAACAAAGTGAAGACTAAAACCATAGTAAGGACTGAAAATATAGTGAAGAAAGAAAACAAATTGAAGACTGAAAACATATTGATATTGAAAACATAGTGAAGACTGGAAATGCTGTATAGAATGAAAACAGTGAAGACTGGAAATGCTGTATAGAATGAAAATATAGTGAAGACTGGAAATGCTGTATCGAATGAAAATATAGTGAAGACTGGAAATGCTGTATAGGATGAAAACATTGTGAAGACTGGAAATGTTGTATAGGATGAAAACATTGTGAAGACTGGAAATGCTGTATAGAATTGAAAACATTGTGAAGACTGGAAATGCTGTATAGAATGAAAACATTGTGAAGACTGGAAATGTTGTATAGGATGAAAACATTGTGAAGACTGGAAATTGCTGTATAGAATGAAACATTGTGAAGACTGGAAATGGCTGTATATAGAATGAAAACATTGTGAAGACTGGAAAATGCTGTATAGAATGAAAACATAGTGAAGACCAGAAATGCAGTATTGAATGAAAACATAGTGAAGACTGGAAAATGCTGTATCGAATGAAAATATAGTGAAGACTGGAAATGCTGTATAGAATGAAAACATAGTGAAGACTGGAAATGCTGTATAGAATGAAAAAAACATAGTGAAGACTGGAAATGCTGTATAGAATGAAAAACATAGTGAAGACTGGAAATGCTGTATAGAATGAAAACATAGTGAAGACTGGAAATGCTGTATAGAATGAAAATGCATAGTGAAGACTGGAAATGCTGTATAGGATGAAAACATAGTGAAAACATGTGAAGACTGGAAATGCTGTATAGAATGAAAAACATAGTGAAGACTGGAAATGCTATAGAATGAAAATGAGATGAAATGCTTTATAGAATGGAAAACATAGTGAAGACTGGAAATGCTGTATAGAATGAAAACATAGTGAAGACTGGAAATGCAGTATAGAATGAAAACATATAGTGAAGACTGGAAATGCTGTATAGAATGAAAACATTGTGAAGACTGGAAATGCTGTATAGAATGAAAATGAAAACATAAGTGAAGACTGGAAATGCTGTATAGAATGAAAAAATAGTGAAGACTGGAAATGCAGTATAGAATGAAAACATTGTGAAGACTGGAAATGCTGTATAGAATGAAAACATAGTGAAGACCAGAAATGCTGTATAGGATGAAAACATAGTGAAGAACAGAAATGCTGTATAGAATGAAAACATAGTGAAGACTGGAAATGCTGTATAGAATGAAAACATTCTGAAGACTGGAAATGTTGTATAGGATGAAAACATTGTGAAGACTGGAAATTCTGGTTAGAATGAAAACATAGTGAAGACTGGAAATGCTGTATAGAATGAAAACATTGTTGAAAAGACTGGAAATGCTGTATAGGATGAAAACATTGTGAAGACTGGAAATGCAGTATAGAATGAAAAACATAGTGAAGACCAGAAATTGCAAGTATTGAATGAAAACATAGTGAAGACTGGAAATGCTGTATCGAATGAAATAATAGTGAAGAAAACTGGGAAAATGCTGTATAGAATGAAAACATAGTGAAGAACTGAAATGCTGTATAGAATGAAAACATAGTGAAGAACTGGAAATGCTGTATAGAATGAAAACATAGTGAAGACTGGAAATGCTGTATAGAATGAAAACATAGTGAAACTGGAAATGCTTGTTCTATAGAATGAAAACATAGTGAAGACTGGAAATGCTGTATAGAATGAAAACATAGTGAAGACTGGAAATGCAGTATAGAATGAAAACATAGTGAAGACTGGAAATGCTGTATAGAATGAAAACATAGTGAAGACTGGAAATGCTGTATAGAATGAAAACATAGTGAAGACTGGAAATGCGTATAGAATGAAAACATAGTGAAGACTGGAAATGCAGTATAGAATGAAAACATAGTGAAGACTGGAAATGCTGGTTATGAATGAAAACATTGTTGAAGACTGGGAAATGCTGTATAGAATGAAAACATAGTGAAGACTGGGAAATGCTGTATAGAATGAAAAAAAAGTGAAGACTGGAAATGCAGTAATAGAATGAAAACATTGTGAAGACTGGAAATGCTGTATAGAATGAAAACATAGTGAAGACCAGAAATGCTGTATAGGAATGAAAACATGTGCAGAAGAAAGAAATGCTGTTATAGAATGAAAAAATAGTGAAGACTGGAAATGCTGTATAGATGAAAACATTCTGAAGACTGGAAATGTTGTATAGGATGAAAACATTGTGAAGACTGGAAATTCTGTATAGAATAGAATGAAAATGCATAGTGAAAGAAAACTGGAAATGCTGTATAGAATTGAAAACATTTGTGAAGACTGGAAATGCTGTATAGAATGAAAACATTGTGAAGACTGGAAATGCAGTATAGAATGAAAACATAGTGAAGACTGGAAATGCTGTATAGAATTGAAAACATAGTGAAGACTGGAAATGCTGTATAGAATGAAACATAGTGAAAGACTGGAAAATGCTGTATAGAATGAAAACATAGTGAAGACTGAAATATGAAAACTGAAGACTGGAAATAGAAATGAAAAACATAGTGAAGACTGGAAATGCTGTATAGAATGAAAACATAGTGAAGACTTGGAAAATGCTGTATAGAATGAAAACATAGTGTGAAGACTGGAAATGCTGGTATAGAATGAAAACATAGTTTGAAGACTGGAAATGCTGTACTAGAATGAAAACATTGTGAAGACTTGGAAAATGCTGTTATAGAATGAAAACATTGGGAAGACTGGAAAGTGAAAACATGTGTATACTGGAATGAAAACATTGTGAAGACTGGAAATGCTGTATAGAATGAAAACATTGTGAAGACTGGAAATGCTGTATAGAATGAAAACATAGTGAAGACTGGAAATGCTGTATAGAATGAAAACATTGTGAAGACTGAAATGCTGTATAGAATGAAAATATATGAAGAACTGGAAATGCTGTATCGTAATGAAAATATAGTGAAGACTGGAAAATGCTGTATAGGAATGAAAAACATTTGTGAAGACTGGAAATGCTGTAGTAGGATTGAAAACATTGTGAAGACTGGAAATGCTGTATAGAATGAAAAACATTGTGAAGACTGAAATGCTGTATAGAATGAAAAAATACTGAAGACTGAAATGCTGTATAGAATGAAAACATAGTGAAGACCAGAAATGCAGTATTGGAATGAAAACATAGTGGAGACTGGAAATGCTGTATCGAATGAAAATATAGAGTGAAGACTGGAAATGCTGTATAGAATGAAAACATAGTGAAGACCAGAAATGCAGTATTTGAATGAAAACATAGTGAAGACTGGAAATGCTGTAATCGAATGAAAATATAGTGAAGACTTGAAATGCTGTATAGAATGAAAACATAGTGAAGACTGGGAAATGCTGTATAGAATGAAAACATTGTGAAGACTGGAAATGTTGTATAGGATGAAAAACATTGTGAAGACTGGAAATGCTGTATAGAATGAAAACATTGTGAAGACTGGAAATGCTGTATAGATTGAAAACATTGTGAAAGACTGGAATGCTGTATAGGATGAAAACATTGTGAAGACTGGAAATGCTGTATAGGATGAAAACATTGTGAAGACTGGAAATGCTGTATAGAATGAAAACATTGTAAAGACTGGAAATGCTGTATAGAATGAAAACATAGAGAAGACTGGAAATTCTGTATAGAATGAAAACATTGTGAAGACTGGAAATGCAGTATAGAATGAAAACATAGTGAAGACTGGAAATGCTGTATAGAATAAAAACATAGTGAAGACTGGAAATGCTGTATAGAATGAAAACAGTGAAGACTGGAAATTCAGTATAGAATGAAAACATAGTGAAGACTGGAAATGCTGTATAGAATGAAAACATTGTGAAGACCAGAAATGCTGTATAGAATGAAAATAGTGAAAACTGAAATACAGCGAAAACTGACAACACAGATTTCAGCATAATAATCATTAATTGATTACTAATTAAGACCATCTGGTCACAGCATTTTGCTAATAAATTCCAGTCTCTCAATGATGAACAAAGTACAATTGTAAGCAAGTATATAAGGTTATTTACCAATGTTTGACTCTTCTTTATGTTTCTCCTTCAACTGTTGTAGTTTATTCTCCAGATCTTCAAGGTCACTATCTGAACTGTTCTCACTGTCCTCAAAATGGGACAGATCACTTGTGTGCACAGAACTAATGTCACTTGACCCGACAGAATCCTGTAAAATTTAAGACACATTTACTATAGATATTTGAAATATAATATACATGCATTTCTTCAATAACATTAATAAAATAGGTAGTTGGAAATTACCATAATTATAAAAAGATACTTTGATGAAAGTTATTATCTTTTACACCATTTTTTGTTGAAGACAAATTCTTTGAAATAAGAATTTAAGTGTCATTTGGTCCTTGATCTAATAGAAACTAAAACAAAGTATGCATTTTAATAGTCAGGATTAAAAGTTTGAAGTAGGCAGGGATTTCCGATTAAAATGTTTGTTTAGAAAAAAAATTGCTATGAAAATCAATCATAAAAAATATTATTCCTACCTCAAGGTCAACTTCCTGGTATATCTTCAATCCCCAGGCAAACCTGTTATTTGCCTCTTCGGGTGCCTTCACCAGTCTGATCCCCAAGCTCACCATCCTAGCTCACCAATAGCTACCATCTGTTCATGCATTGCTTTTCTGAATCTGTTCATTGACAGCTTTCTCTGCCAAAGCTTTTTCTCAGAGTCAACATTCCCTGTAGCATCACTGTTTATACCATTCTTTAGAATCTTCCGGCCAAAAACTGATATCAGATGCTGGTCTCTTTTTCAGAAAACCTGGGTACCATCTGGGAGGACGACGGTTTCCCGGCGGAGCAGGTTCTTCCGAACGGTGTTGGTAGACCAAGGGGAGAGCATTAAGACCTTTGATTCCCCCCTTTATAGGAGATGGTTTAAGTTGCTTGTGCAGAGCTTTGTGATTACTGCACTGCTCACTGGGGGTATCATGAGGCCTCCTGCAGCTGGTGGGGGCACAGTCATTGCTGTACCTGGAGGGGGTATGCCAAAAGTTTGAAAAGGATGGCCTGGGAAAATTGGTGGAAATCCAGCATTTAATGAAGCATTCCAACCCTGTAAACAGAAAAATAAGTATGTCTCCAGCAAAAGTTGTAAAGATGTTTATGACCTGTATTAGACAGTCTCTAGCCTTTTGTTAAATAGAGACGCTACAGGTTTTAAGTCTCTTATTAGTGTAATTTATTAAGAATAATACCTATGAATCATTAAAAAAATAACTCTCAGTCTGGATGGGATTTTACGCTTCATCTAAATAATGGCCACCTTTTAGCTATAATGTTGGATAACAAGTAGGTATATAAGTAAAGCAAAATTCACCATCTGTAAATTATGGCATTGTTTAGTTAATGGCAATAAAAGAAAAACATGTATGTCTTTAGTGAGAGAGTTAGTACCAAAGGTGAAACACATGGTAAACAAGTGTATACGTGTATATTATAAATAAACATAGTCTTACATGCGGTAAAAAAGGAAAATTTTGTTGACTGATCCCTGGAAAAGTTAGTCCAGCTGGGTTGGCACCGCTGTAACCTTGAAGCTGAGGAGGAAATTGGCCTGGTGCTGGTGTGGGTGTTGGTCCAAGCATGCCAGCTGCAGGAGGTGGTCCTGGGTTGTATTGTCCAGGTAACATAGCAGGTGAACTTGTGTTGGCAAACGGACCAGCATTAGTGGCTGTTTTGTAAATAATAAAAAATATAACATTTACATTTACCACTATGTCAAAATGTATAACATTTACATTTACCACTTTATCAAAATGTATAACATTTACCACTATATCAAAATGTATAACATTTACCACTATATCAAAATGTATAACATTTACCACTGTATCAAAATGTATAACATTTACCACTTTATCAAAATGTATAACATTTACCACTATATCAAAATGTATAACATTTACCACTTTATCAAAATGTATAACATTTACCACTTTATCAAAATGTATAACATTTACCACTTTATCTAAATGTAAAACATTTACCACTTTATCAAATTATATAACATTTACAACTTTCTTCATTCTCACACATAATATTTTTTTAACGTGTTTTATGTTGCATCAACACAGTATAGGTCATATGGCAAGTTTCAAGTTTTTTTGGTAGAGAAATATCTCAGGTGCCCTTCCGACCATTTCAAGCACAAATGGGCACCTGCGTAGAACGACTAATGTTTCATAAGCTAGCTGGATAGCTTCCTCATATGAAAGAATCCAAAGTCCCTGTCTGGATTCAAAACCACAGCTGTGAGGGGCAAGTGGTTTGAAGTCAACAACCTTAGCCACTCAGCCAAAGACGCACCCTTCTTATACTCTACTGCATGCATACAAAAATGAATTTCATAACAAGGAAACTTTTAACTGATATTCTAATATTAACCTGCGGAAAACTACTAAATGAAATGTTTTTATTTGTATCCAGCAGTCAATTAATATCCCTGTACTAATTAAATGTAACTGAATGCCACAAAAACTCAATCATAATAACTAAATCTATTTTCATGGAGACAATTAATCTGTTGGATGACACAAAACTATGACTAATGGCTAATGAAAGTAATGTACTAAAGCCAGTTTCTGGCAATATTCATAAAGAGCAGACAATAATCTTGGAGCAGGAATTAAAATTTGCCTTCATTCAAAATTAAACTTGAACCAATACTAGAGTATGTATAGTCTTAGACATGTTGACAATCAAGTAGAAACATATAAGTCAATACACTAAAATAGGATTGAATGCTATAATCTTAGTTTGACAACATTGTGCAATTAACAATTTTTAGCAGGCCTACTTTTCTTTTCTGAGTAGAGTAACATTAATATATATGGACTACCAGTAGCTACATAATAACAAGGGGGTCATGTTAGCCCCTGCCGCCACCCTTCCCCCCCCTCCCCCCGCCGCCACCCTTCCCCCCCTCCCCCGCCACAATATTTCATTGAGATTCATTGCTTCAAATGATTATACTTCTTTAATGCAGACATACATGTAGTTAATTAGGTCCACATTGAGGCAGGGCCAATTATGCCTTAAGAGATTTCAATATGATTTATATATCTTTTAAATAACAAGGTGATGCTACAAAGTACATGCCCACTAAGGACTGGGAACTATAGTTTCTGAGCAGAAAAAGTCTATTTTAGTTCCTGTGACAACTATGCTTCAGCCTGGAACCATTATACTACCGTTACTTAAGGAAAAGGGTAAAGGGCTACTTATGGATCATTTCTGTGAAGTTTGGTCAAAATCTACCATGTGGTTCAGTAGGAGATTTGTTTAAAGTGTAATAGATGATGGAAATACACATGACGGATTACAAGCACCATGCCAACACAAAAGCTCACCTTTGCACTACTGAGCTAATGAGATAAAATGATCCATACTGTTGGCTATCAGTTTCTCTACTTGTAATAGAGTTTGTAAGCGAACAGCATGGATCCTGATCAGACTGCGCGGATGCGCAGGCTGGTCTGGATCCATGCTGGTTGCAAACCCATTATGTTGGTTTTGTCGTGACGCGGCTCAAATATGTGTATGAAATTTAAAGTTACCTGGTGGTGGTGAGTTAAAATTAATATTTAGAAGACTCTGAATGCTGGCAGAATCAGGGGATTTCATCAATTTCTCCTGCTGTTCTTGTTGCTTTCTCTTCAGAGCATTCTTATGTTCAGTAAGACTTATGTTAAGGTGTTCACAAGTCACCTCATCTGTCTTCGGCTTTATAAGCTGCATGATCTTTGGGTTGATTGTTTGCTCCACAATCCTTTCCACTCCTTTGTTTAACATACCAGACCTATAAATAGTTAAAAGAATTATATACATATACTGTATATCAGGTTTTTTTTCGCTAGTATTTAATTTTCGCTACATTTGCGTGCAATTAATATAGCAAAAATTAAATTTGCTAAATTTTCCTTCAATTTAATACCAATATTTTGGAACTTAATTATTTCTTTACATTTGCTACCCAGTTTAGTCATATATATTATTTATTGCCATATCTACAAAACAAAGGTTTTATGCAAGGTAATATTGCATTATCATGTTATTGTCTCTGGCATTTGTTTTCCTCTTGGAAAGCAATGCTTCCTTAAAATACATGTGACTCAGTTCAACATTTTCATGTCCTTTGTTCCACAAATGTTTTATTAGAGGAATCATTGATTTCAATTAGAAACATGACCGATAATTAAATATCTATCCACCAATTCCCTGATTCAATTTTATTAGATCTTTACTGGCATTTGGAGTTTACAATTAATTTGCTATTAATGTCATATAATGTATTTTATAATGATGATTGGTTTCCTGCAATGGCCTTAATAATAGACTTGCAGTGCTTATTTCACTTGTAGGGGATTGGTGGTAGGACCAACAGAGAGGGGAAATTGTGAAGTTGAGGGGAAAAGTTAACACAGAAGAAGAGTTTATTATCTGCTAGATTGTGATACAACACTATTATTATTTCAAACTATACGCAAAAGGTCCCCCTGTTTTAGAATATTGCTTTTTAAACGATGCTGCTTTTTTGTGTTGGGGATTTTTTTACAAATAGAGGGAAAATATATAAATTTTGGAAAGTTAAATTATTAAAACAAATTTTTGCAGAAATAAGCATTAAAGCTAAATAAATTTAGCACTCTCTAAGCATTCAGAAGCAACTTAAATGTACATGTATATAGAGTCAAATTTTACCTGACTGATAGATCATTAGACTTGGATAAATCTATATAAATGAACATATTAACAATGATTGAGAATAGTGATGCATGCCATAAGCACGCCAAAGATTTTTGTAACTTTATAACAAAATATTGACCTGACATTCCCCTTGATGTAAAAAAAATGTGCATGACGTTACTTCAAGGGTGACTACCCTTGCTTAAACCCTATTACCAATTAGATAATGAAGGAAAAGCATTACATTTTGAAAGTCATAAGCCAAAATTACTGAGTAAATGACTCCTAAACTCCCAATAACAGAAGCCCTGCATGGACTTAAACATGTAACAAGTTAATGTAAACAAAAATACTAAGTTAAGCTTACTGATTTATCTGTCTGCGAAGATTCTCTCTCAGTTGATTTTTGTTTAGTGTTGGACTCCATTTTTGTTGGCTAAGAAATCTTGATACATATGATTCTACTCTCTGTTGTAGATTGTGATATGCAGGCTGGAAATAAAAGTTTATTGAATATATCAAATTTATCAACCAAATGTTGGAAACCTTAACCAACTATGGGAGAATAACAGAGTGAGAGTTTTTTTTACTATACATCAGCATACAAATGTGATATATCATCTTTGCAGGAATAATAAATCATATGGCAAAGTCACTGCCAATACCTTCTCAATGCAAATAATAAAAGCTCCAGAAATCCCCACACTATTCTGGCTGTCAGATGTGCTCAGACAGAGTTTTACATAACACAATTTTCTGTGTCAAATACACATCAAAATCTGTTGAGTATGCAAAGAAATTGTACAACTGTGTCTTTGGGGACACAGAGTAATTTTTAATGACTGACTATGTCCAGGTCATTACTATAATGACAATGTACTGCTTTACATCTGAACAGATAAGAGGCAAATGTGTATCAATTTAATAGTAAATATTTGGCTAATATTTGAGAGTCATTTTCCTTAGTTTTAATATAATTGACCAGTCAGCTACAAGTATGTGGTCACATGTTCCCCATTCATAGGCTTTGCCTAATTTTATATTTAAAACTAGAAATGTGTCCATAGGACACGGATGCCCCCACACGCCACTGTTCTGTCAATGTTATGACTCTAGGTCAAATATTTTTTGGACTACATGTGCCACAAGTTGAAAACTAAAAATCAACAAAGGGCCATAATTCTGTTAAATTTGGTCGCAGCAAAAATTCCTTACTTTAAAACCATCTACACATTAAGGTTGTTCATCCCTGGAAGTTTAAGCAAAATCTGCCATTTGGTTTAAGAGGAGTTGCATTCACAAAATTTCTACATAGTATATAGTGAAAAAATAAACAAAGGGCCATAATTCTGTAAAATTTGGTCGCAGCGAAAATTCCTTCCTTTACTACCATCTACACCTTAAGATTGTTCATCCCTGTAAGTTTAAGCAAAATCTGCCACCCGGTTTAAGAGGAGTTGCGTTCACAAAATTTCTACATAGTATATAGTGAAAAAATCAACAAAGGGCCATAATTCTGTAAAATTTGGTCGCATCAAAAATTCCTTCCTTTACTACCATCTACACCTTAAGGTTGTTCATCCCTGTAAGTTTAAGCAAAATCTGCCATCCGGTTTAAGAGGAGTTGCGGTCACAAAATTTCTACATAGTATATAGTGAAAAAATCAACAAAGGGCCATAATTCTGTTAAATTTGGTCGCAGCAAAAATTCCTTCCTTTACTACCATCTACACATTAAGGTTGTTCATTCCTGTAAGTTTAAGCAAAATCTGTCATCCGGTTTAAGAGGAGTTGCGGTCACAAAATTTCTATATAGTATCTAGTAAAAAAATCAACAAAGGGCCATAATTCTGTTAAATTTGGTCACAGCAAAAATTCCTTCCTTTACTACCATCTACATATTAAGGTTGTTCATCCCTGTAAGTTTAAGCAAAATCTGCCATCCGGTTTAAGAGGAGTTGCGTTCACAAGATTTCGGGACGTACGGACGGACGGACTGACGGACGGACGGACGGACAAGTGCAACGCTATATGCACCCACATTGTGGGGGCATAAAAATATTCTCTCATAGTTTATCATTAAAGCATAAAGTTATAAATGGAATTAAATTCAGAATGTCTTGACACAGGATGATACAGCTTGATTGCACACTGATTTATCATCTTTTGTCTTTGACTTTTGTTTTTACAGCTTGATTGGTCAACTGATAAGATTATCTGAATGATCTTAATTATCACTCAAGATCATTCAATCACTTGACCAAGGTGTTAAACAAGTATACTGAATTATCCCCACAGTACAAACAAGGGTTGTCAGTGGTAACATGTGTTGCCTCATGATAGCCAATCGCATATTGCAGCTACTATGAAGCAGGAGACCCAAAAATCATTAACAGGTATAAAGAGGAGAAGTCTGGACAAGCTTTAGAAAATAAAAAATATCATCAAAGACCATCATTAAAAACAATCAGTGATTTTTCTGCTTATATAACAGACTCCAATAAAAGGCCTCTTCCCAAATGCTTGAAATTTCCTTTAAAATCATGCAGTTTTCTCAAAAATCTGAACTTTAACCTGCTTTTTTACTTTCCAAATTAGCAATCTTAGGGATAATTTTCCCAAAATCCTTCCCAATTAAGTGAGAAAAATCACTGGCCATAACTCCAACAAAATTCATTGAACCATAAAAAGCTGATGATATGCACAACATGACTTGGTACTGATCATTAGCTGTAAATTTTGAATGAAATTGCACCAGTAATTTTTAGAGAAGTAGTCCGGACAAGCTTTGTGTATGAGGCAACACACAAGAAAAACCACCTTTTTCTTTAAAGGGCTGTTATGGCCAAAATCGTTCTGCCAAAAATCATTCAACTGGAAAACCTGTGCAATATGCACACAGACTTGAGTTACAGATCAATCCTGTAAAGTTTCATTGAAATTGCATTAGTTGTATAAGCGAAGTCCGGTCAAACTTTAAAAAAAAAAATTATTAAAGGGCCATTACTCAGTCAAAAATCATTAAACCAGAAAATGCTGACGATATGCACAACTGTAGACTTGGTACTGACCACTTCGGTAAACTGGTAAAGTTTGGATGAAATTGCACGTAGTTTATGAAGAGTAGTCCTGACAAGTTTTGTGACAGACGGACAGACAGAGAAGTGTTCCCTATATGTAGCTTATACTTTGTACATGCAACACAAAAAGTAGCTGAAAAGGACGGTGTTTGGACTTTACACCTCCTGGATGTTTCACCCCTAGACGTTTCACCCTCAAAACCCTGGTCTTTTCATCTCCACTTTTTATAATATTATATATAATATAACACATACTTTCAAGCAATTACATTCATGTTATAAAGAAGATACCCTGGGAAAATAATTATAAATATGAGTTCTGAAAGAAGTATCAGCTATAAGTGCCTGCAGGACAGGGCGGACCGTGAGACAGGGCGGACCGTACCAGGGCGGACCGTGACTCGAGACTAGGCGGACCATATTTTGGGACAGGGCGGACCGTCACTCGAGACGAGGCGGACCTTGATTTAAAAAGTATTTATATGTGGGTTTATGTAGTAAAAATATTTAATATTTAATAAGTATTTAATTGTGGATGATTTTGGTATTATTTATAATTCAATCTCAACCTTTCTAGGTAACAATACATACTGTTTATAACATATATATACTGAACCAATAAAGAAACTTTCGCAAAGTATGTGCCAGTTGTTCAATGGTACCACTTAGATGTACACACTTGTAAACATGTAGTAGCTTGTAAAACTCGTTTTGTTTGCAAAAATTACGGTCAACTAATCCCCGTTTAAAAGCCCGATATGTTTATTCAACGTAAAAATCGAGTTTCAAAAGGATTGAAAAACTGTACTAACATATCTACATTCAAACTTGGAGGACGTTTCTTTTTTGTTTCAGTATATTATAGTAGTTTAATACTTTTTTTTTTTCAAGAAATTATTTGTAACTGCCTCGACTTACACAGGTGATAATTGACTAATTATCGGTATATTACAATGTCATTGTTTGTATAAGGCGCTAACGCTGCTAAAATTGATAAACTTTATTAAACAATAAGGCACATAAAAAACATATTTTTTGTTGTACAATACACGAAATAACAATGATAACGAATTACATCACATTAAATTTATTTGCAATACAACACAATAACAAAAATGAAGTGACATATTTAAAGAACAAAACTATTTTATTAACATTTACATAATAAGCACAGACACGTGAAAGAAAAAGAACACTGAAATAGAGTTTACTAAACAATAAGATACATCAAAGAACTTTTAAAACTTACTGTATTTTATATTTCTACTTTTATATTTACATTGAAATATTAATACAAAGAACAAAAACATCAATAATTTAATACGGGGAAGTCAAAGACCGGGCCCGCGAAGCGGGTCCGGGCTTTGGCTTGCCCGGCTATAGACTACACGTGTATATTTAAAAGAAAATCAAATAAAAAACATTTCAAAAATGTATAGAATTCTATACCTATCAATGAAATTTTCAGTGTCAGTTCTACTCGGGCGCTGCCATTTACAATGTAACTCAATGATAAAAGGCGTGGTATTCCGATAACGGAACAAATCTCAACTTTTCGGATAAATAATAAACGTCGAGTGTTCCGAGTGAAAACGGAAGCGGTGCATGTAATACCGAATGACAATTTTAAAACGGAAAGAATGAAAGGAATTTTTTAACGACTTCCCCGTTCATAGGCTTTGCCTAATTTCATATTATTTTTTATTACATTAGTCCACATATAAGTACTTTTTTAAATCACGGTCCGCCTCGTCTCGAGTGACGGTCCGCCCTGTCCCAAAATATGGTCCGCCTAGTCTTTGGTCACGGTCCGCCCTGGTACGGTCCGCCCTGTCTCACGGTCCGCCCTGTCCGTAATTCCTATAAGTCTACATGTATATATCATTTCATTTTTTTTGTTATCCAAAAATTAAATACCATAAAAAAGTTGATTAATTAAAATATGTTTTTATATAACAGATAAGAAAAATTAGAAGTGTGAAACAATTTTGAATAAAGCATTATAAACACTGGTTCATTAATTACTAAATTAGCACCTTTAGAAGTGTGTACAAATGTAACTTGTAGTTCTTATTAGTTTTTATAAAATAGGAAATAATATGATGAAAATAACAGTGTTTATTTTAAAGACCAAAGGTGAAACGTCCAGGAGGTGTAAAGACTAAAGGTGAAACGTCCAGGAGGTGTAAAGTCCTGAAATCAAAAGGACAAGGCAAAAAGTCTAGGAGGTGGAAAGACCAAGGCCGAAACGTCCAGATACCATAGGAAGCACCTAATTTCATAATACTGACTCTATTATTGTCAAAGGATTATTCTAAAAAAGCATAAACAACAAAAACTCTCGACTGTGTCATTGTCAAATTATAGAATTGGCAATTGCATCTATTTCAAAATATTTTACAGATCGCGAAAACTAATTATAAATATCCACACCTTTGTGTCAGCCTCTGCAATAAATTCTTTTCTGAACTGATCAAAACATCCCTTTGACTTTAATGTGTGAATAATCTTTTCCACTAATTCTGGGTCTGCTTTCTCTTCTTCCGAAGACCCAGCAGTCATTTTTGATTTTTTGAGAAAAAAATATTACGCTCCGCGTCGCCGGGCGCTTTGTTTTCTGGTACCTTGTTTTCTCCCAGTGCTTCCCTTTTCGCGAAAAATCTACTGTACAGTAGCTCCGTTTCGGGTTTAAATAATTGATAAATTCCGCAAGATGTAATAAAATCTAGGTTTACTTTGTAGATCCAGGGAATTCTGGAAAATGTTTAAACATAATAAAACAAGTAAATCTGGGGAAAATATATCTAATCAAGAATTTAATGACTACTTTAAAAATCTTATGGGTGGGGATGATCAGTGTGATGATGAAGAATTTGTACGGAATTTGAGGGATTTTGATACCTATCTATCTATCTCTGGATACTGCCAACCCCTCTTACGAGTGTTAAAGGCAGGAATTTAGTGCACGTCGGATTGTTAGTAAAAGGTGAAGAGAAAAGCTAAAAAGAAAAGTCCAAACATTGACATGCTTGGAAGGTGAGACTGAAAATGTATTCTAGTCATGGTTAAAATGTTAATAGTGAAACAAGATGATAAGAGATAAAATAGTTTAAAAACACTGGGAGTAAGACTAGTACTGCAAACCCACCACTGCCTGTTTGAACTGACTCAGGTTGGGCAGGGTGGCAATGTTACTAGGAAGTTTATTCCATAGTATAATGCTATGAGGGAAGAAAGAGTACTTATGGTAGTCGGAGGATACCTGTATTTGACGTAGGGATAAGGGATGCATATGTCTGGTTAATCTATGTGGGGTTTGAACATAAGTTGGGAGATTAATTGCAACTAGGTTATGGTATATCTTATAAAACATTATCAGTCTACAGTCCAGTCTGCGATGTTCAAGGGATCGCCAGCCCAGTTCCTCCTGCATGGCTGTGACACTAGAGTGAGGGGAGTAATCCCTTTTAACCCATCTTATTGCACGTCTCTGGATCATCTCAACTTTGTCAATATTGGTTTTAGTATAAGGAGACCAAATAGATGAGGCATATTCAACCTGTGGGCGGACCAGGGACTTGTATGCTAGTTCTTTTACTTTCTCATTTTTAGTGATGACATTTCTTTTAATAAAGCCAAGGGATCTGTTTGCATTGGAAGTTATTCGAGATATATGTGTATTAAATTTAAGGTCAGCAGATAGATACCGATTTAAATCGACAAGGTAATAATGAGTTGTTGGACTTGCCAATATCTGATGACGAAATTTTAAAAGCAATAAAGAAGTTAGGGTCAAATAAATCACCTTCAATTGATAATATTTTATATGAGTATTTTAAGGTAGCTGCCCCTCTTTTAGTTAATCCTCTGAATTTATTTTTTAATCAAATTTTAAATTCTGGCAAGTTCCCTCGTGCTTGGTCCACTGGAGTAATTATACCTATATATAAAAAAGGGAACCAGTCTGATCCAAATAACTATAGGGGCATCGCTATAACCAGTTGTTTTGCAAAACTATTTACTGTTTTACTTAAGGAAGTGGCTAGCCGTACGGGCCCGTACGGCTAGCCAAAAGTTCTAGCCGTACGTGAGTCACGTACGACTAGCCAGGACACACTGTATTGGCTAGCCGTACGGCACTTTTCAAGAATATATGGAAGGCGAAAGTGCATATGTTAATTATGACTTGAAGCGAGGATTTTAGTCAAGAATGTTTACTTTTTAGAGATTAATCGACGTGTTGGCTACAATAAAGAATGTACTTTGTCATCTCAAGACGTCGAGAAAAAATAGCGTTTGGTTGCATCTAAATAACATCAATTGAAATAGTTTACAAAATTTTGATAATAATCCTTTTTTGTTTCATTAAGTTTAATTTCTAAATTGAAAAAAAACAACAACAACAAACAAAAAAAAAAACGAAACTAATTGTTGTTGGGCTCTGATAATTGCGTCAATTACCGACGGTATAGAAGTTTGTCCACCGTCCATCATTAAGGAAAGTTTGCATTATTAAATTATTTTTCCTTTTCAACGTTTTTTTTTACTTTCTTTTTATATATTTATTTATTTCCCTCCGACAGGGTCTTTCAAATAGATTCTATTTGAACTGGAACATATAGTACATCCCAGATTTGAAAGACCCTGCCTCCGATCATTATTAATTCGATCCGTGTGCTTAATTAACAGATTTAACAATTCATCTTTCAAACAAATCATTAGCATGAAAATTTCTAACAAATCATTAGCATGAAAATTAAGGACGTTATAACATGCAACTTCTTTGACACTTTATCTAGATTATATAACGCTTACTCGTATTTTTTTTTTTTCAAAATTGCGGAGCATCTTTATTAAAGTGAACACACTAGGACAAATGCGGAGATTTGATTAAAATCGTCGTTTAAGGACACAAAATAACATATGCATTTTCGACTTCCATATAATTTTGAAAAGTGCCGTACGGCTAGCCAATACAGTGTGTCCAGGCTAGTCGTACGTGACTCACGTACGGCTAGAACTTTTGGCTAGCCGTACGGGCCCGTACGGCTAGCCACTTCCTTTACTTAATGAAAGATTAAAAGCATGGGTAGAAATGAACAACGTTTTAACTGATGCCCAATTTGGCTTCAGGAATAAATATAGTACTGTAGATCCAGTTTTTATATTAAACGCATTAATTCAAAAGCAACTTCAGAACAAAAATAAACTGTACTGTTGTTTTGTAGATTATAAAAAAGCTTATGACTCTATCGAGAGAAGTAGGCTATGGTTTAAATTTATAAAACAAGGAATAGATGGTAAATTTCTGTCGGTATTAAGATCAATGTACAGCGAAGTGAAACTTTGTATAAAACATTTAGGGAGCCTATCTGACTTTTTCAATAGTAATTTAGGTTTGTTCCAAGGAGAAATAACTTCGCCGATTTGCTTCTCTTTATTTTTAAATGATATAGAAATGCAATTACAGGAAAATATTGACGCTGGAATAAATATTGATCAAATTGCGATATATTTGCTCCTATTCGCTGATGACGCGGTAATCGTCTCTGAAACAAGTACTGGGTTACAGAAATCACTAGATAGTTTATATTCTTATTGTTGTAAATGGAACCTTACAGTTAACATAGAAAAAACCAAAGTTGTAGTGTTTAGGAAAGGGGGGAAGTTAAGAAGGAACGACAAATGGTATTATAATAATCATGAAATTGAAATAGTCAAGTCTTTTAATTACCTAGGGGTTGTATTCTCCAGTGGAGGGTCTTTTATGCAAGCAGCAAACACATTAGCCGGGAAAGGGTTGCGATCTCTACATTCTTTGTGGGCTATTGTTCGTAGTATGAAAGTTCCAATAAATATATTGTTTAATCTTTTTGACTCGTATGTACTCTCTGTTTTAAATTATGGCGCAGAGGTATGGGGTTATATAAATCCAGAGGTTGTAGAAAGAGTACATAAGAAATTTTGTAAATGGATACTAAATGTTAAGCAATCTACACATACTCTAGCTCTCTATAGTGAGTTAGGTAGATTTCCACTCTATATAGAAAGACATGTTAAAATGGTTAAATATTTTCTGATGATTAATACCGTCAAGTCTGAAAATTGCATACTTAAGGCGGTTTTACAAGATCAAATCAAAAGTCTAGAGCTAAACGAATCAATAAAAAATTGGGTCTCATATATACACGATATCCTTCAGTCTTCTGGTCTAAGTGAAGTCTGGTTATATCCTGAATCCGTTAAAATAAATGTATTTGTTCCAGTCTTACGTTGTAGGCTTAGAGATATATACATAAGTAATTGGAGAACGGGGTTGCAGATGTCAAGTTCCTTAAATATTTTCCGGGAGATAAAAGATACGTTTGAGCAGTCAAATTATATCAGACTATTAGAAAATACAAAATTTAGAAACGCACTGGCTAAATTACGTCTCTCTTCTCATAAACTTAACATTGAAGTCGGCCGACACTACAATATTCCGCGCGATGAACGAAAATGTACACTATGTAATTTAAACGACCTAGAGGACGAATTTCACTTTGTTTTAAAATGTACAGCTTATGTCGATTTAAGAAGGCTCTATATACCCAGGTATTATTATACCCACACAAATATAATTAAGTATATATCATTAATGCAAAGTAGTAATAAGAAGATCATAAAAAATTTGGCTCTATATTGTTTTAAAGCTTTCAAATTAAGGGATTCACTATTGTAATAATATAAATTTCGTTCTCAATCTGAAATCATTCCTTTTTTTTTTGTTAATTTTTTTTCCATGTAACTTTTGAGTATATATAAATATATTTTTTCCTTGTTACATTCTCACGATATATGTGTTTAAGGAAATAATAATTCATGTATTATATGTAAAATCTTCCATGTCATACCAATATATATATGTTCTCTTTTTCATTGTTAACGACGATGGGCTTGTAATGCTTAAGTCAAATAAAATATTTGTTCTGTTGTTCTGTTGTTGTTGTTGTTCTATTGATTTGATTTAATCATATTTTATTGCTTGAAACATGTACATGTAACATAGAGATTACATTAATACTAAACAGAATACAATAAATACGAATAAGGAAACATGTATGTTAACAGTTTGAAGCAAATGGGTTGGGCCACAAGTTTTACCAACATTAATGAAGGCCCTTCCCAGGCAAGTTTAGATAACAAAATGTTCATTATAAAGATACAAAACTTGTTTACGTAATTAATGTGTTAGGCGAAGAAACAAGAAAATATATGTTTTTTTGCGCATCATCAGAGTAATATTTACAGTTTGCTTCTATATATATCTATATTGATATAAAAGTATTTAGATGACAATATTACGAGAAAAAAAAACAACAACAACAAAAGAAAATTGATATGAGGTTTAAATATCCAGTCCTACGCATAAACCCAAGATTTCCAGTTTCCCCCCAAAATTTGCTATCTCTGGCCAGTGATGAGCATTTAATAATAATTACATGGCTTGTCACAGTATCACTGATAGCAGCACCCTAGAATGTTTTATGATCCTATCATGTTTCAAGAATGTATTAAGCTGTAGGATATAGAGAACATTTCAGATATAAGGAAAACGAAGATCTTCATAGGTA